CAAGAAGACAGAGTATAGTGGCTATGCCCGTGGTCCCGGGGCCCCAGAGGCTGAGGCGGGAGGGTTGCTTGAGCCAGAGGTTGAAGCTGCAGTGAACTGGGACCACTCCAGCCTGGACAACAGAGCAAGGCCTCATGTTTTGTTTTGTTTTGTTTTTGTTTTTGTTTTTTTTTGAGCCGGAGTTTCGCTCTTGTTACCCAGGCTGGAGTGCAATGGCGCGATCTCGGCTCACCGCAACCTCCGCCTCCTGGGTTCAGGCAATTCTCCTGTCTCAGCTTCCTGAGTAGCTGGGGTTACAGGCACGCACCACCATGCCCAGCTAATTTTTTGTATTTTTAGTAGAGACGGGGTTTCACTATGTTGACCAGGATGGTCTCGATCTCTTGACCTCGTGATCCACCCGCCTCGGCCTCCCAAAGTGCTGGGATTACAGGCTTGAGCCACCGTGCCCGGTCTGTTTTGTTTTTTAAGAAAGGCGGCCAGGCACAGGCTCACACCTGTAATCCCTGCACTTTGGGAGGCCGAGGCAGGCGGATTACCTGAGGTCAGGAGTTCGATACCAGCTTGGCCAACATAGTGAAACCCTGTCTCTACTAAAAATACAAAAATTTGTTGGGCGTGGTGGTGGGTGTCTGTAATCCCAGCTACTTGGGAGACTGAGGCAGAATTGTTTGAACCCAAGAGGCGAAGGTTGTAGTGAGCCTAGCTTGCGCCACAGCACTCCTGCCTGGGTGGCACACTGAAATCTGTCTCAAAAAAAAAAAAACAAAAAACGAAGGCAAGAGGCAAGAGGGGAGGGAGGAGCGTGCAAGCCAGGCTGGGGGCTTTGCTAAGAGCAGCTGTTGCTGGGGGTGAGTTGGGTACAATTTAGAGGGGAGCCCAGGAGGGTGTGGGCCAGGGGTCTCCACCTAGCTTGGATGGGGCTGGGCCTGCTGCCTGTCAGCTGGGGTGGGGGACAGGCAGGCCCCCTGGTGGCATCCAGCAGTGGTCGGACCAGCCCTGAGCCCTGTTCAGGAAGCAAATGCTGTGTGAGGCTACGCAGTTCACTTCACCTCCATTCCATCCGCCACTTGCAGAGCGAGGGTGACAGTGCCTGTCTCACAGGGCAGGGCCCAGGGGCCAGTGCGCTTTAGGCTGCCGCCTGGCCTGTGTGGGGAGGGGAGGGGGCAGGAGCACCAGGAGGCGACGGCTTAGCCCCAGAAGCTCTGTGGGTTGCTCCTCCATCCATGGACAGTGGGAAGAGGAGGACATCAGGGTGTGGGGAGCTGAGGGTCTCGGGAGCACCAGCTAGGAAGCTGCCCCTGAGCGTCTTGCCTCAACCTCACCCCAGATGGGGGCTCTGCAAGACCTGGACCAGGCACCAGCCACTGTCCCACCCCCGCCTCCACTCCTTCTTCCACACGGAAGGTGAATCTGCCCCGCCCCTCTGCTGTGTGGAGGGGAAGGTTGTCAGGTGTTTTTGGGCCACCCCGCTGGAGGTCAGGGTCACTAACTTGGTCCTCGAAACTCTTACTGTCCCTCCTTGGGCATGGTCCCCGAAAGGCTGGCCGGATCAGGACATGAGCGGATGTGACCAGGCTGTGTATGCAGAGCCCGGGCATGGCAGGCAGAGAGTAGTCACCTGGCATGAGGTGACATCACAGCAACATCCCAGTGGGAGCGGTGCCGTGCAGGCCGCCCGAGATGCAGCCTGGCCCACGGGACCGGAGGGATGGCTGGGACCGCACTGCAGGTGGCACCTGCGCACAGAAGGCCTGTAACCATATGCACAGGTGCCCCCAGCCCCTGGGCACACAGGGGGACACCCACTTACAAATGGCTCAGAACCTCAGGGAGTCGGAGAACTGCAGACCCCCAAGTGCCACAGGGGCCAGGGAGGTGGGGTGGAGCCAAGGCCTTAGCTGCCAGTGATCCCCCAACCCCTCGAGTGCCTCTCAGTAACAGGAGTCCTCAGAGCTGAATGGCTGCAAGCCAGGGTGCAGGGCCCGGCCGGGGAGGGCACAGCCACTCACCCCAAGGTCCAAGGTCCCCTGCAGGGTGTCTCCCATGGAGTGCTTTCCTTGCGGCCCCTGAGGCGGACACCAGTATCATCTCCCTCTGACATGAAGCAGAGGTGCTGGGTACGCGCTCACGTGAGCTTCATCCCCCTCTCCTAGACCCCTCCCAGCAGGTGCCAGTCCTCTTCCTGCCCTGTCCCCAGATCTGGGCTCCTTTGGCTCCCTAGAGTCTGGGCAGGGGGTTCTGAGCTCTGCCCTTCGAGGCTGACCCTGGGGCCGGGGGTCCCTGGGGACAGAGCCCACTCGACGCTTCGGTCTGCGTGGAGGAAGTGGGTTGGGACAGCTACACGGGTGCTTTCCCTCCACCTTTAACTTCTAATCAAGTCACTCCGGCACAGGGCCCTGTCCCCCAAGCAGCACTGAGGCATTTAAAGGACATAGACCCCAGGCCTGGCCCCCAGCCTCCAAGTGGCCTGTGGCTGTAGGGTCAAGGCAGAGGCTTTAAGGATGACCTTGAAAATAATTTTTTTTTTTTTTAAATTAAAAGCAGAGGCAGCGCGGACACCTCTCCTGCACAGCCCTTTCGTTCTTGTCTTTGAAGAAGAAGTTGCTGATTGTGCAATTGCTCATTTTCAGAAAACTGAAAACACTCTGGACTTCAACTCAGAATGAGATTTCTAGGCTTCTTCCCACGTGTGGCCCCGCTGGTGTCCCGCAGGGCTTGTGGTGCCGTCTCCCGAAGGGCCGTGGGGCAGTGTGGGCTGGGTGTGCTGCCCGTTCCAGCCCAAGAGCCAAGCCCCGGCCTCCCCAGGCCTCACTTTCCTTATGGAAACTCGAGATGACCAGCCTCTCACCAAGTACCACTGCGCTTTCAGTCCAGACTCTTCCCTGGCTCGGGTGCTGGGCTGGTCTCTGGGTGTAGGGGCTGCTGCGGTGCCGGAGCTGGGGCCGCCGAGGAGCTGCTGCCCCAGGGCTGTGCACTGCTCCCACTCCAGCTTCACTCATCTGGGCCCGAACAGAGTGGCCTCCTGAGCTGAGGGGAGGCAGGCGAGGGCCACAGCTGCCTCCTGCCCTAGCCTGGACCATGACACCGCAGGTTCCCAACTCCCTGCAAGACCTGGGCTGCCCTCCAGCAGGACAGAGCCAGGTGATGGGCTGGTGTGCACCCGAGGCCTGGATTCAGTCCCTCCATCCCCTTGGAGGTCTGGACATCAGGCTGGAGGCAGGGAGTCCCTGTCCAACGCCCTGGGGGAGCAGCTCAGAGGCCCCCACTCCCCTCTGCCCCCAGCTGTTCCTTGCCGCATGATCTGATGCTGGCTCTGCAGCTGTCCCCTTCAGCGCCCTCAGCCCAGGCCAGTCCAGCGGGTCTTGGGGTTTGCTGCACGTCTCTCCTGTGGGACTCCTAGAAGGGTGCAAAAATCCAGGCCAGCCGTGGTGGCTCAGGCCTGTAATCCCAGCAATTCGGGAGGCCAAGGTGAGCGCAAGAGTTCGAGACCAGCCTGGGCAATATGGCAAAACCCCATCTCCACTAAAAATACAAAAACTAGCCCACTACGGTGGCACGCACCTGTGGCCAGGGGACTAAGGTGGGAGGATCACTTAAGCCTGAGAGGCTGAAGCTGCAGTGAGCTGAGATCATACCACTGCACTCCAGCCTGGGTGACAGAGAGATCGTATCTCAAAAACAAAAACAAAAAACCCAGTTTCTGCAATCCCACAGGCCGCCCCCTCCAGTTGACACCCCCCAACCTGTCCTGTCGGCACATCGTGCTGGCTGTCCTGGCCGTCCCGGCCCCCCACCTCCCCATCTCACACTTGTGGTCTGTGGCGATACCTGCACGTGGCCTGGTCTCACTAGGTGTCCTGGTATCCTTAAGGCTGGGCAGGCCCCTGGGCTTGAGCGCCCACGGAGATGGATGAGCAGGCCCCCACCACAGGGGTGTGAGGACTTGGGGCCACCCCCCCAGATAGGACTAGGTGAGGCTGTCCTGGGGCAGCTCCCGGGAGCCAAGGTGACACAGGCTCCGCGCGGTGTGTGGGGTGGAGGCTGCCAGTCCCAGGAGGCCTCCCATACCCCATTACTGCCACCAGCCAGGGCACAGCAGGGCTGGTGCTAGCTGGCAAGGGACCCTTGGGCGAGACTTGAGACCCTGAGGACCCTGGGGGTTGGTCCTGGGCCCACTCCTTCCTGCTCAGTGGGCCACACATGGGGGCCGATGGCATCTGTTCTGGATGTGGCCACCGGCAGTGTCTTGAAGGATGAGGAGGGGCCGAGGGCACTGGGGTGGCTGCAGGGGTCCCTTGGAGGGGCAGGACAGTGGGGGCAGGCTGAGCGGTTCTCCCCACCTGATAATTCTGGGGGAGCTCGAGGGAGGGGCAGGGCTTTTTGCTACCAGGCCTTACCCAAATACCTTCCCGGAGAAATGGAAGGCAGGCCACGGTGGCGGCGGCGGCCCCAAAGCCCCTAACTCTGCCACAAGCAGCTGCTGGAAGGACACTGCCCAAACCCCACAGCCACCTACACGTGAGTATTGCTGTCACCCCTTATTAGCCACCTTGTTTCAGAGTGGAAGGAGGTGCTGTCCTTCCAGTGCACAGAGGAGGAAGCTGAGGCTCGACGGCTCCGAAGTTCCTCGAAGTGGTGGAGCTGAGGCCAGCCCACGTCTGTGGGACAGAGTGCGCTTTCCACCATGCCAGACGCCGGGCAGGTCAGAGCTCTGCCTTATCTGCTCTGGACAAAGCCACAGATTTGTGAGCCTGGCCCCAGGAACTCCCCTCAGGTCAGAGGCTGCAGTCAAAACTGAAAGCAACTTGAGGACCCAGTGGAAACAGGGAGGGCAGGCCCCTTGCTGAGAATTACACACAGTTTCAAAATGGTGACAGAGGCAGCAACCAGGCGGCCGTCCCAGGCCCAGCCACTGAGAGGACAGCCCCAGAGGGTCTGGCAGGAGGGAGGCCCACTCACGCGGGGCCCAGCCTGTGAGAGACAGTGCGATCAGAAACTGAGACTCCGTAATCAGGTTTATTTTCCTCTAATAAGACAGTTTAGCATTTCCGAGTTTCGCATTCTACAGTCTTACAAACTTTAGTTATTAGCATCAGAAACACAAAAACATTGCAAGACCTCAAAACACAAATAAATACCAAATAAAACCACACATAATATACAGTAAACAAAAATATAAAACAGTAATGCTATCAGAAAGTCAGGCATGTTGCTAGCTCACAGTAACAACATGATTATTGCTGGGGCAATAACTGACGGTCTTGTTGTTTTTTCTTAGAAGAGCAGAAAAACGGGACCCGAATCACTGGTCGCGATCACTTGGACTGCCAAGGTGTGTCCTCACGTAAGCGCTTACTACAGACGCGAGTGTTAAAACAGGCAGATTAAAAATACAGGGTCGAATGTGAGATTGGCCTTCTTTGGTCTTTGTTTTTAGGTGATAGGGCTGGGAAGAGCCGCCCCTGCCCTCCACACTTCACACCTCCTCCTACAGGCATTTCTTATAGAAACCACTGGAGACAATGCCGGGTTGTGTGTTTTCCAATTAAGTCATGTAATTTGCTGTGGAAGGGTGTCTTACTTGTCTGAGGGGACTAAGTTGTAAAAACCAATCATCACCTAATAACAGGAGTGGTACAGCGATCCTGGACTTCCAGCCTCTTTTTCACGGTGAGTTCACGAGACAGACTAGACACAGTGCAGCAGGAGAAATGAAATGCGGGCTCTGCTCGGCCCCCAGCACCTCCTCACCTGCATACCAGCCGGCCATGCGGCGACCGAGGCTCCTCACGTCTGCCCTGCAGCCCCGAGTGGGGCACGCCCGGGTTGGGTGGAAACCATCTTTGCAACAAGCTCCCGGCCCCACCTGCCGGCCCGGCGTCCTGATCCCACCAAGCCTGTGACCATCAGCACCAGCCGGGGCGAGGCAGCCATCGTGACCAGGTCGCTGGCTGACACTGACCTTGCCTGGCCTGGGCCACTGTGGGCACTTTCTACTTGGGAGAAAACAGAGCGGCTGAGATTTGCAAATGGAAAACAGAACATGGTCATGGCTGAGAAGTAGATTTGGGTGAGAGACCCTCATTCATCTCACAGACACAAAAGCGAAGGGGCTCCCAAGCTCTCCTAGCTCTCCTTCTGCAGTCTAATAAGATCTGGACTAAAATTTAAAAACACGATTTTACAGCTCTGCCGGAGCCTTTTTGGTGCACAAATGACCCCCAGTGGAGGGATGAGTCTGGAGGGGCTGGGGATCGAGGGAGGGGCCCACAGGGGAGGCTGTGCCTGCCCAACCCTGCGACACCCATGGAGACAGCAGACTGCCCCCCTGCCAGGGCTGGGCACAGGGGCTCTCCTCGTGCCAGTCCTCCCTGTGCAGAGGAGAAAGGTGTCAGCCCAGCACTCCCTGGCCTTCCCATGGGCTGACAAGGAATGACCCCGCTTGGGACAGAGTGGTTAAGGACCTGTCCAGACCCCCCTTCCTTTGTCCTACATCACCTCTGGCTGGGACATGGATCCACCATGGTGACTACCACCAGCAGCCACTGAGCAAAAGGGGGACTGGAATGTGACACTGGCATGGCCGACATACATGGGACACATGGCCCCTGGCCCAGGGTGACTGAGGGCCTTGGTGCAGGCTCAGGTGGTCTAGGAGGCAGCAGGCTGGCCCGGGAGACTGTGCCTGGAACTGCCTCCTCACCGAGCTGGGCCACATGGGGTCAAATGGGGTCAAGGGGGAAGCCTCCTGCCACAGCCAGTGCAGCAGAGCCCTGGTGGGTGGCGGGCTGGCCAGGCCCTGGCCGAGGAAGTGGCCCGAGGCGCGGGAGCCCCAGCACGCCACACCACGGCTCCCCAGTGCCACAGGCCAAGAAGGGAATGAGGACAGGGCAGGGAAGGAGAAAGGAGAGAGAGGCAGGAGACACTGCCTGAGCAAAGGGCTCCCCATTCAACTAGCTGTTGTGGCATCAAAGGGACAGAGGTGCTGTCCATCGGCAGAGGCTGCTCTGGGAAGGAAGGGGTGACGGGCAGGGGCCGCAGCCTGGGCCACGAGGGCCCCTCTGCCCACCTGCACAGGGAACACACATCTGTGGGTCCAGGCCTTCCTCCGGGGCCCCGGCGAGGCTTACACTCAGCGGACAGCACCGCCTTCCTGCCTGATGGCTCCTAGAACTAACACAAATCCTGACCTGGCGACCTGGCACTGGAGCACGGCAAGCTGAAAATCCCGGCATACGTCGGAGCCACGCAGGCTCCCTCCAGCCCACTGGGGCTGCCATGTCTGGTCCCAAAGTCAGGGCCCCATAGGGTCCCCACGTGCACACCCCTCACGGAGATGCCCAACTCTGCTGGAAAGGCCCTACTCACAGCCTGGCCCCAATATCATTACAGACACACCCCAACTTCCAGCTCTGCAGGCTCCACTGGACTAGACCTAGAACCAGAAGGTCAGGCTTCCAGGCCTGGCTACAGCCTGCACATGGCTCAGAATGGTCACAGGCACCGGTGCCCTTCACGTAAGCCGGGCCCAGGCCAGCCACCCAGCATGTCCGGCAGCAGCATGAGCCACTATGTCCTGGAGAAACTGCTCGAGGCCGAGGCAAGGGGACAGGGGATGTTGTTTTGTTACAAAGGTGACGGGGAAGCACACCGGCTTACTTCATACACAAAGGACTCGGTTTCTGTAAAGTACTGAACAGTTCTGTCCCGCTGTGAGTTTGGTCACTTTTGGTAAAGCAGCAGCACCCCCAAGCACAGTGTGCGCACCCCCTTCACGCTCGCTGCCGGGGCCCTGTGACGCGGGGAAGGCTGTCCGCTGCCGAGGGGCCACCGGGCCTCAGCTGCAGGGAGACCATGGCCCCCAGCCGGCCCAGGCGGCGAGCGCCAAGCGAGGGTGTGCGGGAGCGGAGGGTGGAGACCGCGAGGCCTGCCCGCCGCCGGGAGTGCGGAGCACGTGAGAGGAAGACACACTCAGAAGAGAGACCCCAATACACCCAAACAAGAGGATGAAGTGTGTGACACGGGCCGCCCCATCCTCAAGGACGCCTGAGCTCGAGTTACGTCTGTGGGACCCTCGGGTGGGGGCATCTGCCTGGGAAGGGCTATTGGCAACGTCCCAGCAACACACAGTGCTGCCTCTGGCGCCACGGTGGGACTTGAATCCAGAGGGGAGAAGACTGTTTTTACCACACCAAGATGTTGTGTATCCTACATCTAATACTGTACATTTTGTGGAGGGAGGGGGAAGTTGCAGGGACGTCCCTGGTGTTCATCCCTGGTCTCAGGAAAACCACCCGAGGCCAGGTAGGGACAGGCCCAGGGGACAGGCCTGAGGTGGGGACGCCTTTGAGACAACAGTTTCTGCAGCTTCTGCAGGAAGTCTCTCCTTTTCGAGCAGCAACACGTGACTCCCGTACAGGGCAGAACCAGGGACACTCATCCCCCCAAAGCAATCCCAGGAGAGCAGGGAAAGGAAAGGCAGATAAGAACAACAGAGCTTTGACCGCGAACAGGTGCGGCGGGCCCCTCACGGCAGCTCGGGGCACAGGGGTGCGACGGAGGGCACTTCCAGCAGGCACTGGGGCGAAGGCACACCCAGGACAGATGGCAGCACCAGAGACAGGTGGGCCACCAGGCACCCACCGAGCTGTCCCCGCGCGGCCACGGAGAGCCGAGGCAGGCAGTCTGGCGCACGCGGCCCAGCTGGCCAATCGTGGGCGCGGCTTGTGGGCGAGTGGCACAGGTGCGGCGGTTCGCACACATCGGTTTGCCTAAGAAGCACCCGTCGCGTGTAGCACCCATCAGTGGTAAGAGCACCATGAGGCGTGGTGCATAGCAAAGGGGTGCAGGGGCGGGCTCCAGGCTTCAATCACAGTTGGACAGAGAGACAGTAAACAGTGAGCTGAGAAAATGCCGTCCGGGCAGGCGCAGGCTGGGACAACGGGCCCCGTGGCCACCCTTCCCGCCGGGGTGGGGGTCAGGAGCGCCTGTCAGTCAGCCTGGGCAGGCCCCTGAGCAGCGGGCTCTGGAATGCTCAGAGGGTTCTGCTTCGGGCTGTGGGGCGCCCACGGCCCTGGTGGGGACACGGAGAGGCTCGGCTTCTGTTCCACACCTGCCTCCCTTGGGGTGGGGCCAGGCCGTACTTGGACCAGGCGGCTCGCTCGTGGGGCCTAGAGATTTGGAATCTGTGGTTATTAAGCAGCGGAGGCTCCAGAAGCCGACGGTGGAGGCCGGCCTCCCCTCAGCAGGTGCAGAGGTGTCTGAGGGCCCTTGTAGAGACAAAGATCTAGTGGTGGAGAGAAAAGTCTGGTTAAACTAGCACTTTCTAGAATTATGCTCAACGCAAACCCAGGGTGGAGAAGCAGCATGTCACATCTAAGGCACATGTACCGTACGCCACCAGCCCTACCCACAAGGTTGCCTTCGGAGGCCGCCGCCGGCAAGCAGCAAGATGGCGGGATGGAGACACGGGCCGCGGCCTCCCCCGGCAGCCACCTGCCCACCCCTGGCGTGGAGACCGAAGGCCGGTGCTGTCAGCAACAGAGAGCTCGTCCAAACACATGGGGCAGAAGCCAGACACCTACAGGGTTTTGTTTAGAACTCCAAAGTTCAACAGCTGCCCTATTTTAGGGTGAAAACAATCAGAAATCTGAAAATGATGCACAGCATCCATGAGCGAGGCTCCGTTCAGAATTGTGATGTCGTGTCATGGACGACGACAGGTATTGAAGGTTACATTTCTAACGAGAAATAACGACAGGTTGAATATTCTCTTTCCTATCACAAGTGATAACCAGTGTTTGATATTTTATATTTTCTTCCAAGAAATATCAGTCTATCAATGTTTTAAAATAAAATGTTTGCAGTAACAATTATTTGTAGAACTTTAAATTAAAAAATGATTCTGAATTTAGAGACTTTCAAAAAAAAAAAAAAAAAAAGACCTAGGTATACTTCAGGGTCTTCTGACAAACAAATTAGTAAAACAGAGACCAGATGAGGCCTTAAAAATAGACAATATACTGTATTTGAAACAAGATTGCACTCTTGAATTTTAGAAAGAAGGTATCAGAATTGCATTACTATTTCATAAATTCTCCTTTTACTTAACATGCTGACATGTCCAGCTATGCCCACGTGTGTGTGTGTGTGTGGTGTTCAAGTTTAAGGAAGAAAATCATGTTTCTTTTGTTTAGCATATATGTTTTCCACCTTAATTAACTAGATCTTTAAAAATGAAAATGAAAACCTTCTCTGACAGCAATATTTATCTCGTTGAAGGATAAATAATTCTTCAGAGTGAAGTGTGGCTAGTCTGTTAGAAAACGTGTCGGGTGTGCTCACGCGTGGCTCCTCCCGCCGGCGCGCGTCCGCCTTCTGCCGCTCCCTCCGTCCCACAAGGTCCTTTTCTGAGTGCGAGGACCTCGGTGAAGACAGACCGGTTCAAATCCCCCAGAGGAGTTGCCTTCTGCTAAATCCACCTCCCCAGCTACTCGTCAGGGATCGGGCAGATCCGAAGTATCCACTATGACTTTAATAAAAATTGTATCATCTTTAATATATGTCCCATTTTCTAGAACAGTTTGGGCCACAAAGACCGGGCAGCCAGAGGCGATATTCATCTCTCCGGTGGGCTTCTTGAAGCTGCTGCTGTTGGGGTCGGGCTTGAACGCGTCTCCCAGGTGACGCCGAGAGGACCCCTGATCCATCAACATGAGTGTCACTTTCTGCTTAAACGGCCAAGGAAGCAGGGCGTCATATTCTCCACGCATGATGACAAAAAACAGCGACAAGTGCGTCCCCTTTCCCATCCCGTCCCCATTCAGGTAGACCCTGGCGCACATCTTATAGCCAAAGTAGCCGGTGTAGAAAGGCTGGCTGTAGAGGGACAGTGTCTTCCCCATGACTGCCTCCTGCTTCCGCCGCTTGTAGTCGCGAATCTTCCAGATGAGCACGCCGTTGTAGCTGGCGGTCTCCAGGACCTGGAAGCGCAGGTCCATGTCAGCCAGGCGGATGTCGTGCACGCTCAGCATCTGGTCGTGCCGGCTCAGCTGGGACTCCAGCAGGCCTGCCACAGGCGAGGAGGGATTTGGTGAGTAAGATAGGTGAACGTCAGAAGGGTTAGAAAAGCAAAGCCACACCAGCACTTTTTATTTTATTTCATTTTTTTTTTGAGACAGAATCTTGCTCTATTGTCCAGGCTGGAGCCATCTTAGCTCACTGCAACCTCTGCCTCCTGGGTTCAAGCAATTCTCCTGCCTCAGCCTCCCCAGCAGCTGGGATTACAGGTGCCCACCACCACACCTGGCTAGTTTTTGTATTTTTCAGAGAGACAGGGTTTCACCATGTTGGCCAGGCTGGTCTCGAACTCCTGACCTCAGGTGATCTGCCCGCCTCAGTCTCTCAAAGTACTGCAATTACAGGCGTGAACCACCGTAGCTGGCCCATTTTTTAATTTTTAAAGAGGCAAGGTCTCGCTCTGTTGCCCAGGCTGGCATTAAAATCTTGAGCTCAAGCAATCCTCCCACCTCAGCCTCCTAAAGTCCTGGGACTACAGGCCACATCACCACGCCCAGTCACACCAGTGTCTGAATTAAGTAACAATATAAAAGTCACTGTGGCTACCGGGGGTGACACCAGCAAAGCTGTGTAGACAGATGCCCTGAGGCCACATCTATCTTACCTCCCAGGGAAGAGCCCAGGTCCCTGTCCCGCTTCTACCACAGCTCTCACGCCCACAGCCCTGTCTGGGTGGACACTTTACCAGGCACAGCCTGCTGGGAAGGTATGCCCCAGGCGGGTGACCTGCCCATGTGTCACAGGACACCTCACTGCAGGGTCCAAGACAGTGCACTCTCTCTCCAATGTGGTGTCCTGGGAAGCCCGCTGGTGGGAGCCCCGGGGGGCAGGAGACAGCCGTGTTATCCCCACCCCTCCCTCTGGCGTCAGCGCCCACAGGTGGCCTCTGCTCTCTCAGAGGCGAAGCTGCTGCTCCCTTCTCTCCTCCAACCTCATCCTCTGCCTGCTTAATGCAGCCCCACATGCGCCATGGTAATCTGTGCTCCTTTCTGCCATTAATCCTTTTCATGTAAATATTCACAACACTCTTTCAGGCCCCAAAGCCACAGGCCCACATCTACTTGTGGATCAGAACATGATGGCAGAGCGCAGTGGGGCTTCTGCCCCGCTCAGCCCTTAGGAGTGGGGAGGAGCGGGGTCTGAGGCATCCTGACTGGCAGGACCCCCAGCCGCTGGTCTCTCTGGGGAAGCTTCCCGTGGCTGCAGCTGCCCCGACTCTCTACCCCACGTTAGGCCTCACTCAGAGGGGACAAGCCTACGTGGGAAACGTTTCTGTCTTTGCTGGGGGACTCTCAGCAGGAAAGGCATTGCAGCTCTGAGTGTTTCCCGTAACTGGAAAAAACTGTCCTAAGGCACATGTACCTAACACAGCCTCATCCCACGGCCCGCCGCAGCTCTCGCCTGGGGGCCCAGCCCGGCCCCCGCCTCACCTGTGTTCCGAGCCACCTGCCCCGCGCTCTTGTCCACGCTCTCCAACTCGGTCACGCGGTTCTGGAGGGACTCCACGCTGCTCTTCATGCTGTCTGCTTCCTCCCAGTTCTGCCGGAAGGGCCGGATCTCCTTGTCCAGCTCCTTCAGTTTCTCCGCTTGGCTGTCTATCACTCGCTTCCAAACCAAAGGTGTCAAAAAGCAAAGCACAGTTAGGACTCGGAAGATGCTGCGCCGCCCCCTATCAAACACAGATGGGCCAGCAGCAGGACAGCCACAGAGGCCCCTGCACGAGGCCTGCCACCGTGCTCTGACTCCAGGAGGTGGGCTCTGCGTCAGCCCTCCTGGGCACTCCCCGTGAACAAGTGCCTGTGCCGGCAGGGAGCAGTGGAGGTGACGTGAAGCCAGATGGAAGAGGACCAGTCTGCTTTGTCAACAGAGAACCATCGGGAAACCTAAGTGACTGGGCAGAGGTCTCCGCTGCCTGGGGCAGGGCTGTGCTTCTGCCCCAGAATGACCCCAGGGTCCCAGAAGACTCCTAATCCTCAGACCCCTCCCACCTGATTGGTGGCAGGAAACGGCCCCAAGGTGGGTCCCTCAGGACCTGGGTGAAACTCAGTGTGCCAACGCCACAGAAGCAGGGGTCTTCCCCCACCGGCTCCACACTCAGGGGTCTTCCCTCACCAGCTCCACACTTACAATGCCAGTCCCAAGCGAGGGAGGCAGAAACGCAGAAACCCTGCCAGCAGCCAGGCCTGACTTTATGCCACTTCACTAAACTAATTCAGAAAGCCCTTTCCCCAAAGCACACAGGCTGCTCCTACTTGTCACTACCTGGAGAGGTGGGAGCTGTGCTCCGCCCTGGCGGCCTAGTCTGTGTTAAGGGGCTGGGGTGTCCACCTACCAGATGAAGCCAGGGACTTAAAGGGTTTTCACTTTGAAAAAGGATGTGCATTTTGAAATAGAGCTTGTGTGGCTGGAGTTGGATGCTCAGTGCAGCTGTGGAATGACTGAGCCGCCTTGCAAGCTGTGGGCAACACCGGGTGCTCAAGGGGTGGGTCCCAGGGGCCCCCTGAATTCACTTCTCCTTTTGGAAGTCTATTTTTAAACATCGAGGTTTCAGCACCTTTGCTGGCTGTTATTAACCACGAAGAGACAAACATGGCAGGTTTGGGTTACTTTTTGGGCATAAAGGCAGTGTTATTCTTCCTGTTCTTTCCAAGAAACCTGATGTTAGCTAACCTCTAAAAAGTAAGGATAATTTTGGCTGGGTGTGGTGGCTCACGCCTGTAATCCCAGCACCTTGGGAGGCTGAGGCGGATGGATCACAAGGTCAGGAGATTGACACCATCCTGCCCAACATGGTGAAACCCTGTCTCTACTAAAAATACAAAAAAATTAGCTGGGTGTAGTGGCGCAAGCCTGTAGTCCCAGCCACTCGGGACGCTGAGGTGGGAGAATTGCTTGAACCCAGGAGGTGGAGATTGCACTGAGCCGAGGCTGCACCACTGAACCACAGCCTGGGCAACAGTTCGAGACACCGTCTCAAAAAAAAAAAAAAGGAAGGATAATTTCTCTAAAGAATACCTCTTTCCATGTCACTGTCCCTTTATTTTAATCAATTACACATGGTCAGAAGGATATTTAACTAGCTCGCCAAGTCTACTTGCTGGGGGACAATACCCGTGACAACACTGAACATCCAAATTACCTGGCTCCTCTAGTGAGTGCTGGAAGTCTCTTGTACCTCTACCTTCCGATACCATGCACTGAACGGGCGTGTGTGATCGGGGGAGGCAGGGGAAAGTTAATGAAAACCTGATCCACAGAGGTCTGAGAGATGCCCTTCGTAACTTAGCAAATCCCGAAATGAAGCATGAGTCACAGACAGGGTGGCCCAGGACATGCGGCGCCTCACGGTGAGCTTCAGGCCCTTGAGGTTAAGAGTGGGATGGCACTGAGCCACTCCTCCCCAGGATGGTACCACACAGGGCCACGCAAGGGCGCGCCTGACCTCGAGCACAGAACGGGGAGTCTCCAGCGAGGACTCCCCAGCACAGCAGGGGCCCTGAGTCGAAAACACGCAACACAGGTGCACTGCATGCCCAGACCAAGCACAACTAAACAGAAGGCGTTACCACGAGCAGCCAGGGAACACAGGCTATTTTTACAACAGGCCCTTCATCTGTATCAATGGCACCGTTTCAAAGCAGAATGCAGAGCCAACATCAAGGGTTCTCTAAAACACAGTAAACGTGATTTCATCCTTGAAGAGCGGTCTATACTCAGCCACTGCAGTTTCTATAAAAATAAATTCTACAGAAAAATGACTCCAACACAGAGCTGAAGAGCGCAGACAGTACTCCACGTCAACCATCCAGATGGGAAGGTTTGCCTCAGGGAGCGTCAGCATGTGAGCCTCACGCAGCTGTGTGCCAGGGCTGCACCCACATCAAATGCTGCGATGACCCACGCTCAGGACCCTGGGATCCTGGCACACAAGCCTGGCACTGTGAGAAGCCCACCAGTGCCGGCAGCCTGGGTGAGGGCCGCGTGCACGGATGTCCCTGCCTTCTGTCCTAGCACGTGTTGCTCGCGTGTGCCCTGCGGACCCCCTGACTGCAAGAACCACCAGCTCATCTAGTCCCCTGACACCAGAAGCCTGGGTCACGATCGCACTTAGGCTGTCTTCTTTTTGACAGAGCTGCACTCTGTTGCCCAGGCTGGAGTGCAGTGGTGCAATCTTGGCTCACTGCAACCTCCACCTTCCAGGTTTAAGCGATTCTCCTGCCTCAGCCTCCCAAGTAGCTGGGATTATAGGTGCCTGCCACCACACCTGGCTAATTTTTGTATTTTTAGTAGAGATGGGGTTTCACCATCTTGGTCTGTGTGGTCTCGAATGCCTGACCTTGTGATCCGCCCACTTTGGCCTCCCAGAATGCTGGGATGATGGGTGTGAGCCACTGTGTCTGGCCTAGACTCTCTTCTTAATAAGGAAAAACAGGATCCTTAAGAAGGAAAATATTAAGAACTCATCCTTCCTGGGCATGCAAAAGCAAACACTCTTCAATTCCACTCCTTGGCCCCCTGGCCTGCACCCCGACCACACCCAGGCCACCGGGCCCTCTGTACTCCGACACCCACCATCACCGGGACTTTAGGGCCTACCGGACAATCAGTCAAGGAAGAAGAAGACCCAAGTGACATGTGCCCTCATCACCTAGGTGATCCATAAATATAGCTGAGGAATGCCTGGGGCTGGCCAGGAAAGAAAGCAGGAGAACAAGGGTTCAGAGTCACAGACATCTGAGCAGGAGGATGGAGCCTCTCAAGGAGCAGTGAGCCAGTCCATTTTAGCACGGGGAGTGGGGCAAAGCTGGGAAAGGTGACTGGTGGCCAGTCACAGAGGTTTTCAGGGCTGCAGTAAAGATTTTTCGATAAGCTCCTCCTGGGTCAACCTGAAGGGCTCTGAGGATGAAAGAGTGGGGCGCACAGCTGGGCGGGGCTGCCGTTCAAGAGGGTGAGTGGGGCCTGCAGCAGCAGAGGGATGGCTCCCACATGGCCAGCGCCTCCAGGCATCTGACGGCTTTCAGTCAGTGTCTTCTGAGAATGGACAGTGCAGGATCCTCCTGGCCAAAGACTACCCCACAGTGGTTCCAAAGGTAAACTGAATTTTCCCTTTCAAAAAAACCACACGTTTGGAAGGGGTCACACTAAGAGGAGTTTTACACCTTTCAGGCAGGGCCCTGTCCCTGCAAGCGAGGAAATCAGGCCCAGTCTCTTCCCCAAACACAAACTGCTCTCTGTCGCACCCCAGCCTCCTGTTGGGAAGAGGCCAGCGCTGCCATCACCACCTACTCGCCTACTCGTCCCGGGCCAGGGGACACTGACTGCTGCTGTTACCCCTCCATCCTCTCTTCTCTGGGCTTGGCAACTTGGTTTCCCCCTTTCTTTCTGATTTATGCTTCACCAGTTTGTTCAATCACAAAAGCGTCAAAGGAGAAATCACCGTCGAGTGATGAAACTCAACTAAAAAAGAAAATAAATGAGAATGGCTCTGACTGGAAGGGGGAGACTGAAGGGGTGAACACAGAGGAAATCTCTGAGTGGGGTGGCACATCTAGACATCACTGCACCGACTCTAGCTTTTTGTCACAAATGAATGCAGTACTTGTTCATTCTTCCTTCTGTTGTGGACATTTTAGGAGGTGATTTCCCCGGCCTTTCCAGTGTCTCTGAGCCCCAAGCTAAACACAGCAGGGATCCTGTGAACAGCCAGAGCTGCTTGCCAGGCAGCGCAGGTGTGGGCGGGCCACAGGGTGGCCAGGGCCCTGCAGCAGCGGGCTGACCAGTTGCCTTGGCCAGTCTGATGACCGACACACTGGTGGGCCCTCAGCAAAACGCCAGGGGCTTCCAGCGGGAGGCTTGGTGTTTTAAGAAACATTGTACGTTTTTTGGCTTGGTTTCATGCTAATGACTTGTGCCTTTTCTAATCCCATCTAAAGTTCTGTTGTGTTTTCTCCTTTTCTCTCTGGGTAAGTATAATACAAATGAAATTAATTTAATAAATTCCTGGGCAATTCAAGTCATTATGACTCATCTCCAATGTCAAAAATTGGAGAAACGGCATTCTCAAAGATGCCATAATTCTGCACTATTAGAAGTATTTTCTGTTCCAAATAATCTAGGGACACGCCGTCAGTACAGGCACTTCAGTGACATGAGTGATTCTTCCACGGGTGTGTGACACACATGGGAATTACTATCACAAAAGGACATGAGTGAATGTGTAGACGGCATCTAAAACAATAATCTATTAACAAGTACCCCACAGACAGCTGTGATGACAGAAGACAGGACGAGCAACATTTCATCAGGTCCAGGTACCTAATCACCTCTATTGAGGGTGGCAAGGGTTAACTGGTTTGTTCTTCAGCAGGTGTGTGTGGATTTCCGAGATGAAACCCACCGGGGTGAGCGCGTGTCACTGGAGAGCTCACAGCAGAGCGGGGCTGCACAGCGCCTCGCTGCAGGAAGTGAGACTGCGCACAGCAACTACTCATGGACAGTAGGAAATCTTAAATAATAATAAAAACAGCTCATTTTAAAAAACACGCCTCATGTCTTACTTCTCCAACAGTAGACCAAAGGCATGGAAGAGGGGTGGAGGCTTGCTCTCCAGAGAAAAGGCAGGGAGAAAACACCCACCTGCAGCTTCCCAGGCCGGGCCCGTGCTAGCCCCCCTGCCTTTTCCGAGCCTTCACTGAGGCCAGGGAAATCAGCTGGCCTTCTGCTTGCAAAGGTCAAGGACTCAGCCCAAGCAGTTCGCTGAGAAAGCCCTAATGGGGAACATAGGCAAGCTCCTCTACCCTTTGATCCGGCCAAAGTCCTAAGATTCTTACCTGTAAATGAAGGATTTTGGATTCATTATTTCGAAGCATTTCCTTCTGTCTCTCAATTTCAATTTCAAAGCTACATATCTGATTGTGCAAACTTTGTATGCTCTTGTTTTTTTCTACACTTTCATTCTGTAGCAAGGAAACCTAAAAAAGAAATTCTTTAATTAATGTAACCAAAAGTGTTTTCATATCAATTAACAACCATGGTAATCACACCAATTAAATTTTCACAATATAGGCTTTCCATTAGCTTATTGACAGAGTTTCAGAAGGAAAAAAATCCCTTCACACAGAAAATGGTAGTCCTGGTACTTTTCTTTCTTTCTTTTTTTCCCCCTCTAGAGACAGGGTCTTGCTCTGTCCCCAGGCTGGAGTACAGTGGTGCAATCACAGCTGACTGCAGCCTTGACCTCCTGGGCTCGAGTGATCCTCCTACTTCAGCCTCTTGAGTAGGCAGGCCCCAGGTATATGCTACCACCGTGTCTGGTTAGGTTTTTTAAAAAAAAATTTTTTGTAGAGATGGGGTCTTGCTATGTTGCCCAAGCTGGTCTCAAACTCCTGGCCAAAAGTGATCCTCCTACCTCAGCCTCTCAAAGGGTTGGATTAGAGGTGCAAGCCACCACACCCAGCCAGTCCTAATTTAATAAAGAAACCTAGAAAGTCTTTCTCAGAATCTCTTCCAGTAATTAGGGTGAGGCAAAGTGCAGCAGCTAATTGAATATCAGAATAAATGAGGTGCTTTTTCAAGTTTTTGCTAAAAACTAAATGAATCTTTTACCAGAGTATTCTTCAACTGAAGACCAGAAAACACAGTAAGAAAGAGACACTTATCTATCACCCACTGATACCACCACGTGTGTGCGCGTCCCTGAAAACAGGTGTCACAAAGCAGTACTTGCCCTAATTACTTACAATGCACACTGATATTTCTTCTTTTATTCCGTTTCATTTAAGAAAATACTCGTCCCAGGAGGACGTTACGTTGAGCGAAATAAGCCAAGCACAGAAAGGCAAACACTGTGCACTCTCCTTTAGACACGGGATCTAAAAAAGTCAGGCTCACAGGAAGAGGGAACAGTGGTTACTGAGGCTGGCGGAGGTGGGGGATGGGGGCGGGCTTGTGGAGCTGCTGGGCAAAGGGCACAGAGCCTCAGTTAGACAGAAGGAAGGACGTTTTCAGGCCCACCGAACAGCATGGTGACTGTAACTGGTATTAACATGTGTTTCAAGACTGCTTGAGGAGCAGATTTTAAACCAAGTGAGGTGATGGATATGTTAATTAGCTCTATTTAATTATTCTGCAGGGTGTATGTGTGTGTGTTTGTGTGTGTGTGTGTGTGTGTGTGTATGTATAAAAAATCAAAACATTACACTGTACCCCATAAATATATGCAATTATTCTTTGTCAATTTAAAAATGCTGGTCACAACTTACTGAATTATTTCACATCTACCCAGGGACCACACCCTGCAGCTTGAACAGCTCTGCCAACATAAGGAGAGAGCGTGAGGAGAATACAAAAAATTAGATGGGTGCTGCATCCTTGGGAACAGCCCTGTTCACCCTCAACATGGAAAAGCGGAGCTGACACCTGAGGATATCCTTCCACGGGAGCACAGAGGAGCCCCTGCAATCCACGCTACGCAAAGGGAGGGCCTGCTGGGTGAGCAACTCCAACCCCACCTTTGACCTTTCTGAAATCTCTTTCTGAAAAATACCTCCCAAAGAAAAATTAACACCTGGTCTCAAAGATGAAAAGTTCAAGGGTAACACCTATGAGGCCTTCTTCCTCACAAAACTTTTACAAAGGGCATCTTGACCTCCCATCTACTTTCTGTCCACCTGTCTGGGTGGTGGTCTCCACCCCAGAAGACCCTAAGCTCTGTGCAGATCCAACATGTGCCTCTCCAACGATGTGCATATTAAAACCACCAAGACCTGGGGACCAATGGTCACAGAGGGGAGGGCCCGAGGGCATCTTGGCACAAAACCAGGTGTGATCAAGAGCTGACTCCTGATGCTGTCCATCTAAAGGATAACCACCTTTAGCCTGGTTATCCTTTTAGTATTTGGCACAGTTGGTCAAGTCAAGAGACACATTTTGAAGCAATCACTATCGTATTTTTTTTTTTTTTAAGACGGGGTTTCACCATGTTGGTCAGGCTGGTCTTGAACTACTGACCTCAGGTGATCTGCCTGCCTTGGCCTCCAAAGTGCTTGAATTACAGGCATGAGCCACCATGCCCAGCCTACTATCGTATTTTAAAACAAATAATGTATTTACTAAGGGATATAAAACTTACAATGTCTCATGGGCAAAATATAACTTCACTTTCCTAGGATTTTACTCCGCAAAAATCAGCCTTCCTTCCTTCCTTGCCTCAAACGTCCACAAACTCCTACAAGTGATCAACCTGCAGAATGCGGAGCGAGCCACAGGTAGCATCGCATGGTGTCTGTGTCCCTCTGAAAGTAACAATTCATTCATTTCCATCTGTCAAAGACAGGACACAATTCTCAGACTCTTTATTCTCATATCCCTGCAAAAAGATGATATGGATGCCAGCTCTTTTGTCAAAAATCTCAGTAACGTCTCCAAAACACTGTCAATAGGCCAGGTGTGGTGGCTCACACCGGTAGTCCCAGCTCTTTGGGAGGCTGAGGCAGGTGGATCACTTGAGCCCAAAGAATTGAAGACCAGCCTGGACAACATAGCGAAACCCCACCTCTACAAAAAAACACAAAAATTAGCCAGGCGTGCTGCAAACACCTACAGTCCCAGCTACTGGGGAGGCTGGGTGGGAGGATCATTGGAGCCTGGGAGGTCGAGGCTGTAGTGAGCCTCGACTGTGCCACTGCCCTTCAACAAATCAAGCAGTTGAGTGTGAACAGACGCAACTTACAGCGATGAATACACATCATGCCACACTAAACTCAATTCCTTTCATTTTAGGACTTCCCTTATTTAAACTATTTATTTATTTTAATCAAAGAACCCAGCTTCTGGGTCCTGCAGCTCACTGCTTCCACTCTTCTAGCAGGGAGATGCTGAATGCACAGCAAAGTCCACCTGGCAGGTGCGGTTCGAAGGGGCCAGCAGAACACCCGTCCAGGAGGTCCGAGACTGCACTGAGAACACCCTTGACTCCAGCTCACCCTCATGGGGGTGCTCTACATTTCCCCTCCATGTAAGCTTTCTTTTTTTTTTTTTGAGACAGAGTTTCGCTCTTGTTACCCAGGCTGGAGTGCAATGGCGTGATCTCGGCTCACCGCAACCTCCGCCTCCCGGGTTCAGGCAATTCTCCTGCCTCAGCCTCCTGAGTAGCTGTGATTATAGGCACGCGCCACCATGCCCAGCTAATGTTTTGTATTTTTAGGAGAGACGGGGGTTTCACCATGTTGACCAGGATGGTCTCGATCTCTTGACCTTGTGATCCACCCGCCTCGGCCTCCCAAAGTGCTGGGATTACAGGCTTGAGCCACCATGCCCGGCCTGTAAGCTTTCTTAAAATAGAAAAAGGGTGTTTTTAAGTCCAGATTTTACAAAGCAGTGTTTCTTTAGTTTGACTATGAATATGAGAATCAGTCTTTTTTTTTTTTTTTTTTTGAGACGGAGTTTCGCTTTTGTTACCCAGGCTGGAGTGCAATGGTGCGATCTCGGCTCACCGCAACCTCCGCCTCCTGGGTTCAGGCAATTCTCCTGCCTCAGCCTCCTGAGTAGTTGGGATTACAGGCACGCGCCACCATGCCCAGCTAATTTTTTGTATTTTTAGTAGAGACGGGGTTTCACCGTGTTGACCAGGTTGGTCTCAATCTCTCGACCTTGTGATCCACCTGCCTCGGCCTCCCAAAGTGCTGGGATTACAGGCTTGAGCCACCGCGCCCGGCCCTTTTTTTTTTTGAGATGGAGTCTTGCTCTGTCACCAGGCTGGAGTGTGGTGGCGTGATCTCAGCTCACTGCAACCTCCGCCTCCTAGGTTCAAGCGATTTTCCTGCCTCAGCTTCCCAAGTAGCTGGGATTACAGGCATGAGCCACTGCGGCCGGCCAGATCAGTCTTTTTGAATCAGCTCAAACATTCTATTTTCTATGACAGATGAACAAAATGACCTAAGAAATTCCAGCTGACTAATTCTATAGTAAAAAATAAATTCCCATTTTAAGCAAACATAAATCTCTCTGCTCTTTGTCCAGCCTTTGCTTTTGGACCCAGTGAAGGGCACTGTGCACCTTCTTGGGAGCACAGTGAGCATGTGCAGAGCACATGCAGAGCTGAGGGTCAGCTGGCTCAACATCAGGGCAGGGGCTCTGCTCTGATGGACAGAGTCCGGGAGAGACCAGTCCTTTGGCAACGTCCAAAAGGGCAGTGCACAGCTGCGCATCCTGCACGCTCAGGGCTTCCACTGTGACTTGGCTGGAGATAGCTTAAACACAGGAGGCATTCAGAGTGAGAAACCACTGCACTGTGTGTGGGCGGGCTGCTCTGGTATGTCCTGGGGTTTCCAATGATGCAAACCATTTACTTTCAGTGGGGAAAAAAGCACAGAACGGAAAGGAAGGAGCTGAATCCCCACAGGGACTGGGCCCCAGAAGGCTGCCCGGTGACAGCACAGTCCACGACCATCCTGCTGGATAACCATGTGCGGCGGACCTGCTCAACTACTGTGTAACTAACAGCGATAACAAAGTCCGTTCTTAACATGAGAAACAGCATCTATGAGAGTAAGAGGCTTTGTCATCTATACCTCTAATTTTAAAAAGACAAGAAATAAAAGTCCAGCTTCAAAAAGAGGGTAAAAAAGATTCTTAGGTAAATCGCCACTGAACTCAGAGCAAATTCTCGACGCTCACGGGAAGATCACCAGGATTCTGTGAATACGAGCTCTGCGTCACTGCTGCTCAGCACTGTTCTGCTCCGTGTGCACATGTGCACAGGACGCCAATCCTTCCACCGCTTCTCAACCTCAGCTCCAGCATGCAGGTGAAACACTCACAGCCAGGCACGGTGGTTCACGCCTGTAATCCTAGTACTTTGGGAGGCCGAGGCGGGAGGATCATGAGATCAGGCATTCGAGACCAGCCTGGCCAACACTGTGAAACCCCTTCTCTACTAAAAATACAAAAATTAGCTGGGCATGGTGGTGGGCACCTGTAGTCCCAGCTATTTGGGAGGATGAGGCAGGAGAATCGCTTGAACCTGGGAGGCGGAGGTTGCGGTGAGCCGAGATCGTGCCACTGCACTCCAGCCTGGGCAACAGGAGCAAAACTCTGTCTCAAAAAAAAGAAAAAAAAAGAACAGCATGGGAGAGTGAGTCTTTCTGGGACGTGGTCCTGTCTATGTGGAGAGCAAACCAAGTTTCACGAAGTGTCAAATGACAAAATCAGTTGTAATCACAGCAAATGTTTTGTCTCTTGTAAAAGACACAGAACTGTAACGCATTTACAGCGGTAGCCACCCAGGTCAGGGCTGGCGAATTTATCCTGTAAAGAGCCAAGTAGTCAGTATCTCGATCTGTACAGTCCACACGCTCTCTCCAGTCTGCTGCTGTCGAGCAAAGGAAGCCAGCCGCAGGCAACACAGAGGGAGGGAGGATGGCCGTGAGCCAATACGACTTTGTTTACAAAAATACCAGTGGGGTGGGGACTGGGCACCTGACCATCTCTGTGTTGGATTGAAGCTAAAACAACCACAATGTGACTGACATTAAAAAAAGCACTTCACACTTGCTTGGCAATTAAAAAACAAAGAACAAAAACGAAACAGCTTCATTTATAAGCTCAAGATCACATAGGGAACATTTTTTTGACAGTCTCTTGATATGGTTTCTTTTATCCCAAACCCATTACTAAAAGAAGTTTTGTCTTTAAACAATCTGAAGAGGTGACACAAACCCCACCGCGCAGGAAAGCGTGCAGCCCACCTTCTTCTCGAGCGAGTTACTCCACTCCTTCAGCAGGTTCACGTGCTGCACGGCGGAGCTGGCCTCGTGGGCCTTGATCTGCTGGTTTGTCCCCTGTGAGACAAAGATAGGAGGCATTCAGTGACCCTCACTGCATTTCAAAGGGCAGAAAGGCTAACATATGATCCTAAAAGCAGCACTAGACACAAAGAGGGGAAACCTATTTGCGCCAACTTAACAGGGAACCTCTGCGCCTAAGGAGGGCTGTGCTGAGGGCCACCTGGCCACCTTATGCAGGTAAGGAGGCCACCAGGAGTGGCAGAGCCAGCGCCCTGCAATGCCACAGTAAGCATCTCAGGGTTATCTCCCCATACCTCCAGCTCATCTCAAGTGGCTTTTCATCAAGGGTTGATACTCGTAATAGCAAGAAATTAAATTTTAAACTCATTCTTTATCTATTACAAACTACTTTTCTCATTAAAATATAGTATAAGTGGAAAATGTTTAGATACCCGTAGCTGTAGCTAGATACTGCCACAACAGGCTAGTAAACATGTAAGCAAAGTAAGATTCGAAGTAATTTACTAAAGTATCAATTTACTGGTTCAAATACACTGTATCCAAAGATGTATTGCTCCTCATCATTCTAGTATACTTAGAAAAGTTACATACAAAACAAATACAATCTACAGAGTACATAAGATGCAGACCATTTTGGAGTCAGGAATAAGCACATGAAATTGTACTTCATATATTTAAGGAAATAATTTGCATGAAAATATAATTCGTTTTGCTATTAGAGAATTAAGAAGCCACAGAAAGCATTTTAATGATCTCCAAAACATATACTCTGTACATAGAATATTTATATATATATGTCGATATAAGTGTTGCAATATATAAACATATATATACACATACACAGAGAGAATGAATGATACTACGTACGACAGAACAGGGGAGGCTCAGTCTTGCTAGAGACTCAAGCAAAGGAAGGCACAGTCATTCTTACTCTTTGGCTGTTCTCTTCCTCAGAAAATACTAAGATGCCAATCTCTCTGTACTGACTTCATAATAATGTATTGGTGCTACATAAAATATAAAATACTTAGTTTTAAGATTAAGATACATATATTTAAATGAAAACTTGGTTCCAATTCACTAGCAATCTCAGCTGTGTTAAAAAATAAACAACAACAAAACACCAGATGCAGATTTCTCACACTACACGTGTGGCAGCAACAGAGGCACTCTCCCGCACTGTTCTCTGGGAGGTGTGCTCTCTAGGAGCTCTGCTCCATTTGTCGTCTGTCCCCAGCTGGGGGTGAGAGTCAGCACAGACATGTACATCAAATGCATTTATGGATACACACGTGTGTGATCCTTACAGCTGTGTACTGACACACACGCTGTTGAAACTATGCTCAGTTTCGTAACCGCTTCTACTCAGGTAGCAGCTAAAATTTCTATAACCGTCTACCTGAAAACCCCACCAAATGTCAGGCCTATCTGTCACATTACTAGCTGGTTTTGGATGCAGTACTTCTCTTAATGCATTAGCTTCCACCTCAGCACAATGTCCACCTCAAGTCTCAAATCACCACCAACTGGAAAGCGAGCATCCCGCCTGCTGCACGTGGCTCTTGCCACCCATGCAACAGGGTGTTTCAGTTTCATGACAAGGAATAAGGAGTCCAGAGCTTGCATGTTAAAAATGTTAATATAATAACTTTCTCTCATGGCAGAATGTCAGTGACTGGGAAGGACAAATGTCGGATACTGACCTGAAAAACGCAGCCATAGCGCTTAAAACTACAGGTGCTGGGGGCATTGACACACTCTGACAAGTGTGCACTCAACTGCAACGGGAAAGAGACGTGAGTTGTGGCACAAACGTTTGCATGAAAATGTTCAAACATATTAGGGCACAGATAGCATCTGAGTTGTACTATTAAGAATGGTGTTTATCGCTACAGGTGTGTATATATCATCTGCTGCCTAGGCTTCTATGCAGTAAATATACGGTCTAGTCACGTGTATACACATATACGCCAATATACAAGAATACATTTACTATAACATTTCTTAAACTTGCAGTTTCTTTAGAACAAATTGTTCAAAATGTGATATGCCATCTGTAGTGCCAGAATTTAAAAAAGAAAGAAAAAACATAAACTGAAATGCACATTTAAGGACCATAAACAAAAATAGCATGAAACACAAAAAAATAGAAAGCATTCAGAATGCAACTGGGTCACACACCTAATATACGGTACACAAAAATAAAAATATTTTCAAAGCGAGCTTACACGATGTACCATTACTCAAAATACTTGAGATAAGTGCAGATGAGTTTTTCCTTCATCTGAAAAGACTTTTTCCCTCTGTAAAGACTAGAAACTCAGGTACTTTTTCAAAGACCTCTAAGATCAATCTAACAATGTGGTCTTAATACTGTCACCTCTGATTGATGTCAGGAAAATTAGGTGGGGCTGAGAGCAGATAACTCATCTTGCAAGAAAAAAGTCTCTTGCTCAGCTCAAATGCTGCCGAGTCACGAAACAAAAATTACTTACAATGCCCTAATGAGAGAAAAGGGAATGGAAAAGACTACATTTCAAAGACTTAGAGTCATGTGTTAGGCTAATACAAGTCAGGTATAGTTTTTGTCTTTTACGTGCTTTATCATGCCCCAAGACTGGACAGAAGTTCTGGCTTTTATTGAAGATATTCCCATCAGGAAACTCTAGGGACAGATCTTCTTCACAGGAAACAATCAGCCTCTCCTTAGGAGGACGGGTGTGTGGGTGGCGCAGCCGGGAACATGTCTCTCTGTGTGCCAGCATGCATGCGTTCCCAGGGCTCACAGAGCGCATCCTCCTGGAGGGTGCAGCTAAGTTCTACACTTCCCAGTCCACCAGGACGAAAGCGGTCCTTTCCTCTAGATGGATAGTTAGAACAGAGGGGAAAATGGATCCCTGCTGTGAAGGCTAAGGAGGACGGACAATGCAGGAAGGGCCTGAGGGCCTCACGTGGCCACTGCTAGGGCCCACCTGACCTTCGAGGACAGTCTCAGAGCCAGGGCAGAGTCATGGTGGTAGGAACCTGGCAGCCTGATGCCTTTACTGCTCCTCGGAACCTACACTGGCTGCTCCTGCAAGAAGCGCCCACAAGGTGCATGACAGGTGACTAGCAGGGAAACACAGCATGAAGACTGTGCAGAACGACGTTAATTAAAAAGTTTGGAATGTATTCTTCCACTGTCACTACTGCAATAACAAAGTTGAGTGGCAACGCTATTACATGTTCAGCCAGGGACACACTGGGTGTGATGCATGTTATTTTTAGTGTACTACAGTAAATTCAGGGTTGGGCCTTTTCTTAAATTGGTTTACTTTCAGTATTCTGAGTCTTAGGCAATCTGCAGGAGCTCTGGCAGACAGGCAGGAATAATCTATAGCCCAACAGCACCTTTCACTAGAAACCCAACAGAAATGCAGGTTTAACAATGTTTTCAAAAAAAGAAATTATTCCAACAGCATGGACTCTTTTTTTTTTTTTTGAGACGGAGTTTCGCTCTTGCTACCCAGGCTGGAGTGCAATGGCGCGATCTCGGCTCACCGCAACCTCCACCTCCTGGGTTCAGGCAATTCTCCTGCCTCAGCCTCCTGAGTAGCTGGGATTACAGGCATGCACCACCATGCCCAGCTAATTTTTTGTATTTTTAGTAGAGACAGGGTTTCACCGTGTTGACCAGGATGGTCTCGATCTCCTGACCTCGTGATCCACCCGCCTCAGCCTCCCAAAGTGCTGGGATTACAGGCTTGAGCCACCGCGCCCGGCTTGGACTCTTTATATATTAACAGAAAATTGTCCAGCTGTGGTAATAATTGACAGGTATTTTTCCCTAGCTCCTCCCAGGGGCACGTTCAGGGCCCAGAGACCACTGTCATCAGGCAAGACATTGCCCTCACCCATCGGCTTCAAGGTCCTGGGAGGACACGCCTCGGGGGAGAGTAGCTTGTGGGTGCTGGGTCCCTGGCCCTAGCCCCACATGGGCCCTCTTACCCAGTCAGGGACAGGCGAGGCTGGTTTTCCCTGCTACCCAATATATATGGGTAAAATTTCAGGCTGCTGAAAAATGCTGAGGTGAGCCACCTCCTTAGATCAGGGCACCACACAGCCAGGGAGCCCAAGGTAGCACCAGATGACTCCCAGAACATGCTCCAGGTCGGGACAGGTGCAGAAATGTTAAGAATCCTTGAAATTTTCCCAGCTGGACGTATCCTGATCCAGTGAAGTCAACGCAAAATCTACGTATCTCAAAAAGAGAGTGCCCCCAGCACTTTGGGAGGCCGAGGCGGGTGGATCACGAGGTCAAGAGATCGAGACCATCCTGGTCAACAAGGTGAAACCGCGTCTCTACTAAAAATACAAAAATTAGCTGGGCATGGTGGCGCATGCCTGTAGTCTCAGTGAGCTGAGATCGCGCCATTGCACTCCAGCCTGGGTAACAAGAGCGAAACTCTGTCTCAAAAAACAAAAAAAAAAAGAGAGTGCCAAGGGCCAGGTGAGGCGGGTGGCCTCTGGGGGGCCACAAGGGCCCGTATGGCAGCCCTAAAACGTGGGTGCGTCCTCCGCCCAGCATGTGTGAGCTTTGCTTCTGAAGTGTCTCTCAGTTCATTCATATTCTTGAGATCATCTCACAGCAATTACTATTCTATAAAGTTAAAATTGCTTTTAAAAAACCCTTAAGTCAGCTTTGCTTGTATTGTATATAAAATATTTCCATTTTCTTAATACTTCGCCAATCTTTCCTCTGAATTTACCACACTGTAGTGTTTGTTTGTTTGTTTGCTTTTTTGAGGTGGAGTTTTGCTCTTGTTGCCCAGGCTGGAGTACAATGGTGCGATCCTGGCTCACTATAACCTCCACCTCCAGGGTTCAAGTGATTCTCCTGCCTCAGTCTCCCAAGTAGCTGGGATTACAGGTGCACGTCACCACAACTAGCTAACTTTTGTATTTTTAGCAAAGACAGGGTTTCACCGTGTTGGCCAGGCTGGTCTAGGACTCCTGACCTCAGGTGATCCACCTGCCTCGGACTCCCAAAAGTGCTGGGACTACAGGCGTGAGCCGCCACGCCCGGCCACATATTGTAGCTTTTTTTTTTTTTTTTTTTTTTGAGACGGAGTTTCGCTCTTGTTACCCAGGCTGGAGTGCAATGGCGCGATCTCGGCTCACCGCAACCTCCGCCTCCCGGGTTCAGGCAATTCTCCTGCCTCAGCCTCCTGAGTAGCTGGGATTATAGGCACGTGCCACCATGCCCAGCTAATTTTTTGTATTTTTAGTAGAGACGGGGTTTCACCATGTTGACCAGGATGGTCTCGATCTCTCGACCTCGTGATCCACCCGCCTCGGCCTCCCAAAGTGCTGGGATTACAAGCTTGAGCCACCGCGCCCGGCCTTATTGTAGCTTTTAACTGCTTGCTTCTGACTTCTAAAAAATGGCATAAGGCTTTTTGCTGTGGTTTTCGTTTTTCTGCCATACACATGACTCTCATGAACTGGGAAAACGTGAGGCTTCGGCTACGCAGGGAGTGGAGACCCAGGCGCACAGCCCTGAGGACTCTGCAGACTCCTAGCTGGGCCTAGCCATCCCTACCTCGCTCCTCAGGAGAGTCTGGACGCTGCACTTGTGAGGGCAGGACACCACCACGCAGGGACAGTCCGTGTCTTCATGTTTCTGCAGAGAGAGAAGGTACTGTCAGCTTTACACACACGACCTGTCTTCCTTAACCGCGCTGAGGTCCCCACGGGGCCACCAGGAAAGGCTCTGCTCACCATTTTGGCCCTTCGGTTATGGCTAAAGTCATTACTGTCACAGAGTATGAGTGTCTCAGGACATCACAGGTATCTCCACAGATCTGGTGCTATCTGACCAGTGAGGGCGACAAGCCTGAGAACAGTCACAAGGGCTTCCCCTGAGCACTGTCCAGAGCTGCTCCTGGTCCACATGGCACCTAAAGTGCAGCGCTCAGGCAGGTATGGCCACTCACAAACGCTCACAGCACAGGTGGACAGTGGAGCTGCGGACCCAGCTGGTGACTGCCTCTGCTGGTTCAGAGAAGAAGGGTCTCCCTTGGCCTCTCAGTCTGGAGTCTGGAAATGATGTCTCTCAAGTATGTGAGAGTGGTGTGACCGACTGAGTATTTACATTACTAACCTACAGCCTTAATCTAGATGATCTTTAGTCCATGGAAAATTGGGTGAGTTTTGGGTTAGACCTTCTCTGATGGCACAGACTTCATCTTTGCTGAAGCTGCATGATGGCTACTCTTAAGCCCAGTGCTATGGGTGCCTGCTGGGCACCTGTCCACAAGCAGAGCAAGGGCAAGGACTCCCCACAAGGACATCAACTGCAGGGGCCCTGGGGAGAGACTGACGAGGCAGAGCCTGAGCCGGAGCTGCGCTGAACAGTTCCTGCTGAGAGGAAGACTGTGGCAGCGGCTTCCCCGCAGCACAGACACCTCAACCTTCCCCATCCATCTTTCCAAGTCCTCTTTTGGCCTCCAGTTATGCTGTTGTTCTGCTGAACAAACTGGGGAGGCCTCGCTGAGAGCTGCTGTCTCACTGGTGGGTCTGAGGGTGAGGAGGGCAGCGGCCTGCTGGATGGAAGCTCGTCCTCGGAACGTGGACACTCCTCTCCCCCAGGAGCTCGCTCTCCTCGGCATGTTTCCAAGGCCCAACTCTGCAGGCACCCACAGTGGGTCTGCAGCACAGGAGGGACACCTACAAGGTCAGAGCTGCCCTGCTCCTGGGCCTGGTCCCGAGGCCCACAGTGCCACCGAGGGCCAGTCCATCACCATCCCAAGCTGAACAGCAGGCACTGGATGGGTCCCCTGACCACAGGCCTCACTCAGGGGAGATGTCGCATGGGGACAGCATGGCACTGGGCGCAGACTCCCACCCAGCCTAGCTGTGCTCAGAGCCACAGTCCCCAGCACCACTGTCAAGGCTTCCTTTGTCTTTCAGTGGGAAACCCTGGCACAGGTGGCTTCACCTCCCTGGCCTCACACCTCATCTGTAAATGGGGTGGCTGGAGCTCACTCCCAGGGTGCTGAGGGCTGACTAAGGTCAGGGGCGTGGAGAGGCCAGCACAGGTCTGGAAACGTGGTAAGTGCTCTGTGGATGCTGAGCCTCCTCCGAACCCACTCTCAGTCCACTTCCATTCACCCGAGAGGACGCTGGCCAGTGTGGGCATCAGCACAGAGACAGCTGGATGAAGACTGGCAATCCCCACTGCAGCCAGGCAGAGGGAGACTGGCATGCCTCTGGAGGAGAATAAGGATGGGGTTCGGGGCAGGGAGGCTGAGGGAGAAGGGCATGGAGGGAAGCAGTGTGGCCAGGGAAGAGGAGACCAATCAGTATCTTTCTGTGTTTAACTTACAACAACCCCACAGCAAACTACACTCCCAGTAGCATGGGGATGCATGTTTTCACACCCTTGCCAATTCTATCGCAAAATCTTTCGCAATCTGATAGGTAAAAAAATGGGGTGAGTGGGACCTGCAATTCTTTAGTAATGTGTGGTTAAGCGCGCGCGCACACACACACACACACAACTTGAGACAGTCTGTCACCCAGGTTGCAGTGCAGTGGTGCGATCTCAGCTTGCTGCAACCTCCGCCTCCTTCAAGCGATTCTCCTGCCTCAGCTTCCCAAAGAGCTGGGACTACAGGTGCGCGTCACCATGCCCAGCTAATTTTAGTATTTTTAGTAGAGGCAGGGTTCACCATGTTGGCCAGGCTGGTCTCAAAACTCCCAATCTCAAATGATCCATCCGCCTTGGCCTCCCAAAGTGCTGGGATTACATGTGTGAGCCACTGCACCCAGCCTTAAGCATATTTTAGATATTAATCGTTGCTGGCTCACAATTACGCTTTGGACTAATCTGCCTATTGCGAATAACTGCAGGCCCCTAACTTTCACTACTGCATGACACACCTCCCTGTCGTATAACACTGTAATACAATTTCCACCTGCTGATGGGTGCTCCAGCTATTTCCAGATTTCTGCTGCTCTGGTCACACCTGGCAGTTTCTCCTATACATCCAGGGGAAGAACTGCTGGTTAACTGAATGCCTGAATGTCCAACCTAATAGGACACTGACAGTTGATTTCCAAAGTGGCCAAACCTACGTAGACTTCCACAACGTATGCTCTCCCGTAGGGTGAGATCTCTATCATCCTGATCTTCACTAGTAACAGAACTGTTTAAAAAATCATAGTCCAGGATTTCTGGACTAAATCTAAAAGGTTTCCTGACACTTTAAATTATGCTGACCTATAAATTAAAAAAATGATAAAACTTGAAAATAGCTGGTATACTGTCTATACAATAGTTTAAATGTAGAAAGGAGATTCTCATGAGAACTGCAACGGTCCAGAGTTTCGGTGCATTCTCAGCACATTTTGTCAACATTTGATGTTGTGACACACCACACGCAGGGAATGCAGGAGAATGAGAATGACCTGGGCTCTCGATCTCCCTGTATCAGAACTGTTCTCATTAGAAATAAACTCGATGAAGGCCTGAGGTGATGAAACTAAGGGTGTTAGAGTTGAAAAAAACAAAATATGTGGGAAGCAAATCACGTCACTGAAAAGAGAGGTGAGTGAGGGCAAGTCACAGAACCAGGCCTGGAGCTAAGGGAGCCAACCAGCCACGGCCCTCCCCTCATCAGGCTGAGAGGCAGGGCAGCTGCATGAGCAGGACCCCAAACACCTGTGCTTGCTGAGATGCCTGCCCGCCCCGAGAGAAGCCAACACACACCTTAAGACGCACTCTACTACCTACACTGCTCTAGCAGGTTTAAACTAGTATCACCTCAAGCATGTAGTGCGATTTATGAGGAATATTTGCACAACTCAACCCCCCAAACTTGTTCATTATCATTCTGTGCTTTCCATCTACTCTCTTGCTCCTGTGTCTTTAGTTGACTAATTCAAGACCCAGATCAAATGAAAGGCAACCTCCTCACTAAAGCCTTCCCTGCCACTCAGGCTACGCTATCATAACATCCTTCCTTGTTGGCATGTTATTAATGTTACAATCACAGTTCTTCCCATACTAACAGGAATTAAACTGTGCATCTGGCTGTCTCTCTCATCAGATTGTAAACTGAAGTAGAGAGTGCGACTTACTCTCGTGTACATCCTGAGCAGCCAGGGCAGGGTCTGGCGCTGTTTCGTGAATCCATACGCTATGCTGATGCTTAAAACCTGACCTGTTACAGCCTCATCTGGTGTTCAGAGTCAGTTTAACAGACATGCTCTACAATTCCTGCTCAAACAAAAATCAGTTGTTGGATTCTATTCTGCAATAAAGGTAACTGATTTTGGCAAGAAGCAAAGTATAACTTCGATAGCTATGCATTTATTTATTTTAAGTTCCAGGGTACATGTGCAGGATGTGCAGGATGGCTACACAGGTAAATGTGTGCCATGGTGGTCTGCCACACAGATCAACCCATCACCTAGGCATTAATCCCGACATCCATTAGCTATTCTTCCTGGTGCTCTTCCTCTCCTAATCCCACAGGCCCCAGTGTGTGTTCATCCCCGCAGTGTGTCTATGTGTTTTCATGATTCAGCTCCCACTGTCACCCAGGCTGAAGCGCAGTGGCGTGATCTCAGCTCATGGCAACCTCCGCCTCTCACGTTCAAGCGATTCTGGTGCCTCAGCCTCTGGAGTAGCTGGGATTACAGACATGTGCTATCACCCCTAGCTAATTTTTATGCTTTTGGTAGAGATGGGGTTTTACTGTGTTGGCCAGGCTGGTCTTGAACTCCTGACCTCAGGTGATGCACCCGCCTTAGCCTCCCAAAGTGCTGGGATTACAGGTGTCAGCCACCGTGCCTGGCAGATCTTTTCTTTTCTTGGACTTTTGCTCTTATTGCCCAGGCTGGAGTGCAATGGCACAATCTTGGCTCACTGCAACCTCTGCCTCCCAGGTCCATCGATTCTCCTGCAGAGCCTCCCAAGTAGCTGGGATTACAGGCATGTGCCACCACGCCTGGCTCATTTTGGTTTTTTAGTAGAGATGGGGTTTCTCCATGTTGGTCAGGCTAGTATTGAACTCCTGACCTCAGGTGATCTGTCTGCCTTGGCCTCCCAAAATGCTGGGATTACAGGCACGAACCACCACATCCAGCTGATCTCCTTCCTTTTTACAGATACATCATATTCCATGGTATATATGTATCACATTTTCTTTATCTAGTCTATCACTGATGGGCATTTAGGTTGATTCCATGTCTTTGCTATTGTGAATACTGCTTCAATAAACATACATGTGCATGTATCCTTATAATAGAATGATTTATATTCCTTTGGGTATATAGCCAGTAATAGGATTGCTGGGTGAAATGGTATTTCTGCCTCTAGATCTTTGAGGAATCGCCACACTATCTTCCACAATGGTTGAACTAATTTACACTCCCACCAATAGCGTAAAAGCATTCCCTTTTCTCTGTAACCTCTTTAGCACCTGTTGTTTTTTGACTTTTTAATAATCACCATTCTGACTGTCATGAGATAGCAATATTTTAACTTATGTCAGGCCTGAAGTCTTATTCATCAGGCATGCGTCTCATTCACTGGAGTTTAACAACTGGTGGAATTATTATTTTCGTTCTAGAGAGGAGGTCTTGCTTTGTTGCCAGGCTGGTCTTGAACTCTTGGCCTCAAGCAGTCCTCCTGCTTTGGCCTTCCAAAGTGCTGGGATTATAGGCATGAACCATCACACATAGCCTGGAGGAATTATTTTGACTATGACAAAACACTATTGCTATTTTCCAAAGGAAGGGGAAGGCACAGTTCTTAGAAGTCCTTTTTTTTTCTTTTGAGACAGGGTCTCACTCTGTCACCTAGGCTGAGTGCAGTGGTGCCATCATGGCTCAATACCAGTCTCAACCTCCCTGGCTCAAGTAATCTTCCTGCCTCCACCTCCCGAGTTACTAGAATTACAAGTATGCTCTACCACACCCGGCTAAATTTTTATTGTTTATAGAGGCAAAGTCTTGCTGTGTTGCCCACACTGGTCTCCAGCTCCAAAGCTCAAGCAATCCTCCTGCTTCAGCCTCCCAAAGTGCTGGGCACACAGATGTGAGCTACCACACCTGGCCTCAAAAGTTCTTAATAACTGGAAACTTCTGAAATGTCATACAAGAAAAAGATCGTGCAATGTAAGAAAGACATGGCCACAGAAAAATTACAGAAAGCAAGGCAAATACAGAGATTATGAAGTATTTACCATTAAAACCCATGGTGAAAACCGCAATTACTTTTGCACCAACCTAAGAGAATACATCTTATTTCATAGAGAAAAGCAAAGGAAGCTCCCTGCATTTTGGTCATAAGAGCTCCATGCTGGGCGCGACGGCTCTCGCCTATAAGGCTGAGGTAGGCAGACAGCTTAAGCCTAGGAGCTGGAGAACAGCCTGGGCAACAGGGCGAGACACTGTCTCTACTAAAAAATACAAAAATTAGCCAGGCAGGGTAGCATGCACCTGTAGTTCCTGAGGTGGGAGGACTGCTTGAATCTGGGAGGCAGAGACTGCAGGGAGCTGAGATTGTGTCACTGTACTCCAGGACTGGATGACAGAGTGAGACTGTCTTAAAACAAACAAAAAACACCACTCCACAGTTATCTGGCAGGAACTGGATGGTGGCCACACCCTGGCTGAGGTGCCCTGGTGCCTCCCCTCAGTCGCTTCATGGCTAAGCCCACCCCAGCCTCTCGGCAGCCTTGGAGAGTGTGCCCAGGCCCCCATGAGTTCTGTCCTCCTCTACACTCACTCCAACCCCATGGCCCTGCAAACCACCACAGTCACCCCAACCTGCAGCCTGCATAGCTCCACTCCCCATTCTCCCCCAAGTCCATCACCCTCCACTCACTGGGCACCCCCTCGGCAGGACACTCAGGTTCTCAACAAGCACTGGGTGTCACCCTTACCTCATACCCAACCTGCTGGCCAATCCTACCACCCCACCTTCAGGCACAGCCCAGCACAACTGTCCCCCACCATAGCAATACCAGGCCTTGCCCCAAGGCCCCACTTACCTCCCCAGCTCTGGGCTGTCCAGTGCCTTTCCCTCCCCCTCTGGCTGCCACACCGCCCTCACATCTAGCCTGTGCTCCACACAGCTCCTGAACCCCACAGCCCTGCCAGTTCCAGCTCAGGGTCCACATGCTCCCTTGCTGTCCTATGACTGCTTCAGAGAAGCCAGTGCTGATCATCCCTCTTCCCTGAGTCTGCCTGATGTTTATTCAAGGCACTGGTCACCACCTGATGTTACACATGTGTTAGTATCTTTTCCCGCTAGAGGAGCTTCACCACTGAGTCCCCAGCTCCTGGAATGCTGCTCCGCGCACAGTAGGTGCCCAATTGGTGTTTGTTCAACAAATGGATCATTTCAGAAGTGTGTCTTCCACCCCCAACATCTCTGCTTTCCTCTTTAATTCACACACTCAGCCACACTCTCACACAGAAACACACAATGCAGAACTGTGACAATATAACCCAAGTATGAGAAGTTCTGTCTCTCTAAAATAAACAGCTGCATTTCAATGTTGTAGGATAAATTAGCCTGTTGTAAGTGATGGTTATGTCACAGAGTTGTAATAAGATCGGGCAATCCATCAACATTTTGAGGCCCTTCCCTACCACAAGTTAAAAATTCTACCTTTTTTGAATAAGTATTCATTTTCTGACACCCCAAATGACAGTCAATCAAGGCAATGGAAAATGTTAACTAAATAAATCAAAATAGGCAAAACAAATAAAGCTTAACTCTGAAATGAAGTCTGATAAAAACTGCTATTTACTCCTATCTTTTCTCTTTATTCCTGTTAGAATAGTCATTTAAAAAGCTATTCAGCGGGAAAATGATCTGTGAATTGGGCAGAAGGTGTGTGAACAGGAAAAACACCACACCTGCAGCGTGATCATCGGAACCTGACTCTTGCAGTGGCTGCAGGTGGCTTCCCGGTATTTACACGCCTTCTCCACATGGTCTCGAAGGTCTTTCCTCAAGACCTTTTCTTTGCAGTCAGCACGCACACATGGAAGTTCTTCAAACTGGCAATCATTTTTTAAATGCACCTGTAAGACAGACCATTCAAAGTTCTTAACTGGGCAAAAATCCCTCAATCTGAAATGCCAGATTCTAATCTCTATGCAATGAAACCCTAAAGAAAGGTTTCTCCTCTGCTGTTAGACCAGTCTTTCACAGCAAAGAGTAACAAATATGCCAAGAGACACTGAATTTCATATTCTATTTTGTGAGTCCTCAAACTATATTGTTGTTGAAGAATTAAGTCAACTCTGCTTCCTGGGTAGATAAATGAGTATCTGCTAAGAACTTTGTTTTATTCCAGTTCAAATAATTTTCTAGGCTAAATATGGTACTAATAAAAAAATACAGGAAGTTATGTCGAATTTCATGGGCCTTCTAAAATTAAAATCCAACTCAGATTTTCTCTATTGTAAATAGGGTTGGGAGTGTTTAAGAACCAGTTGGCAATTCTGTCAATGATGTCATAAAAATAACAACTTAGAGGGTGGTTCTCACTGCTTTCCTATTTGGCTGTGCTTTGAAAAACTAACGTCAACATTGTCTTAAAGTGCCACATCCTACTGATCACTTCATCCACTGGATGTAAGAAACTCGGCTTCCTTCAGGTACAAGCCTCCGTGCCCCTGCGCTACTCACCAACAGATGCCCCAGCGTTAACTGCTCTGCGCAACCCCGGCTTTCATTCCGACAGTAGATCTGAAGAGCTAGAATTTCTCTCTTGCAGCAATTATCCTTAAACACCTGAAAATGAAAGATCATTATTTTAGAGGATTAATATTTCTTAATCTCCACATGCTGCTACTTTGGACAATGCAAAACCACTTAAAAAACACACACACAAGAGAGTAACTCTTAAGTGGACTTCAGAAAGCATTAAGGACCATCTTGATTTCTACAAGTAGAATGAAGAAGCTGCCCCTACTAAGATACGCAATTTAAACAACATTAACTGTTACCTTTTATTAGTTAAGCCAAAAGAAAATGAATTAACTTAATAATTAAAGGTCACTCTGGAGCATCTCAACATCTTCTATTAACTTTGACATAATCTCAGGACAAGGGCAGAGGAGGGCAGAGGAGGACTAGGTTCACAGTCAGACTCTGGGGCTTTCCGGGAGCCAGCACTGAGCAGGTGGTCATCGTGGTCCAGCTGCCACCAGAGGACAAGAGCAGAATCTGACACAACTAAATACATTTTTTTTTTTAAGACGGAGTTTCGCTCTTGTTACCCAGGCTGGAGTGCAGTGGCATGATCTTGGCTCACCGCAACCTCCGCCTCCTGGGTTCAAGCAATTCTCCTGCCTCAGCCCCCTGAGTAGCTGAGACTACAGGTGGATGCCACCATGCCCAGCTAATTTTTGTATTTTTAATAAAGACGGGGTTTCACCTTGTTGACCAGGTTGATCTCGATCTCTTGACCTCGTGATCCACCCGCCTTGGCCTCCCAAAGTGCTGGGATTATAGGCGGGAGACACCGCGCCCGGCCCCAACTAAATACATTTTATAGATTGCTTGTTGGAGACACGGAGAGACCATGTCAGAGATCATATGTGGGGAAAGATTTGTAAAACTGTTGATTCCTTCTAAAGGTCATGCTGTTAAAACTCATTTTTCACCAAAAAAGCAGCATTAGTCATTAGCCTGTGGTTGAAAAAAACTCTCTTAAAACATATATTGCAGTATGAAGTTAGTCTAACAATGAAAACATTTCCCTGTGAAAATGAAAATGAGGCTGGACATGGTGGCTCAAGCCTGTAATCCCAGCACTTTGGGAGGCCAAGGCAGGAGGACTGCTTGAGCCCGGGAGTTTGAGACCAGCTTGGGCAACCCAATGAGACCCTATCTCTACAAAATTTTTTAAAAAAATTAGCTGGACAAGGCAGCAAGCACCTGTAGTCTCAGCTTCTCAGGTGGCTGAGGTGGGAGGACTGCTTTAGCCTGGGAGCTTGAGGATGCAATGGGCCGTGATCACACCACTGCACTCCAGCCAGGGTGACAGTGTGAGACCTCCATCTCTCTTTTTTTTTTTTTTTTTTTAAAAAAGAAGAAGAAAATTAAAAAACCTTTCAACTTTTCTTAATTTTATTTTTCCCTTAGAAAACAAAAATATTCTCACTCTTTTTTTTTCTTTTCTTTTCTTTTTTTTTTTAAGAGACAGGGTTGGCCAGGAGCAGTGGCTCATCCCTATAATCCCAGCACTTTGGGAGGCTGAGGCAGGTGGATCACCTGAAGTTAGGAGTTCAAGACCAGTCTGGCCAACATGGTGAAACCCCGTCTCTACTAAAAATATATTTTTTTAAATTAGCTGGGTGTGGTTGCAGGTACCTGTGGTCCCAGCTACTTGGGAGGCTGAGGCAGGAGAATGGCTTGGACCCAGGAGGTGGAAGTTGTAGTGAGCTGAGATAGTGTCATTGTACTCCAGCCTGGATGACAGGGTGAGATTCTGTCTCAAAAAGAGATGGGGTTTCACTCTGTCGCCCAGGCTGGAGTGCGGTAGTACAATCATGGCTCATTACAGCCTTAAACTCCTGGACTCAAGGGGTCTTCTCACCTCAGCCTCCTGAGTGGACTGAACCACAGGTGCATGCCACCAAGCCCAGGTAACTTTTTAATTTTAATTTTTGTAGAGATGGGGTCTCCGTATGCTTCCCAGGCTGGTCTCCAACTCCTGAGCTCAAGTGATCCACCTGCCTCAGCCTCCCGAAGTGCTGGGATCACAGGCGTAAGGCACCCACCCACCCCTCTCTCACTCTTTCTAACAACACAACCTACAATAGCTTAGTCCAAAGGCATTTCTAAGAAACTCCCGCCTGTTGCTCTATGAAGGTGGAATAACAGGACTGCTGAGACAAACAGAATCAACAGCTGTTAAAAACAAACTAATTTGGAGCCAAAGCTTTTCTTTCATAAATATGACTAAATAAAAAAAAGGTCATGACTTCAGATACTAAAGTCAACAGAACTTTGGAATGGACAGGATCTGAGACTATTTACTCCAAATGTCCCTGTTTACAGATGAGGACCAGAGGCCTCCATCCCTGGATGACTTGCTGATGGGTAGACCCAGGTCACCTAGGGCCCAGACAACTCCACTCTTTCCATGAGGGTCCACAGCTTGAGTGCATCTCATTCATGGTTCTTTGACAAAACTTGTCAATTTTTCTTTTTTTTTTTTTTTGAGACGGAGTTTCGCTCTTGTTACCCAGGCTGGAGTGCAATGGCACGATCTCGGCTCACCTCAACCTCCGCCTCCCAGGTTCAGGCAATTCTCCTGCCTCAGCCTCCTGAGTAGCTGGGATTATAGACACGCGCCACCACGCCCAGCTAATTTTTGTATTTTTAGTAGAGACGGGGTTTCACCATGTTGACCAGGATGGTCTCGATCTCTTGACCTCGTGATCCACCCGCCTCGGCCTCCCAAAGTGCTGGGATTACAGGCTTGAGCCACCGTGCCCGGCAACTTGTCAATTTTTCTTCAGCTACTGTCATTAAAAAATGGGGATAATGATTCTGCATAACGAAACAGAGATACTAAAAAAATCATCTCAGCCATTGTTGTGAGCTTCTCTCTCACTCACACATGTTAGGCACATGTTCACAAGGCAGCCTGGTATCATGCTAGGACAAGGTACAGAGCAGACGGGAGTGGCTGTCTTCCCTTACAGGAACTAACCAAGTCTTCGGCAGTAGGAGGTAAATGTGGAGAAAGGAAAGGTACAGGGCCAGGTGGCCAATTCCAGCTCTCCACCTTCCAGAGTGGCTCTATCGGATGCCCTTGTCTCTGTCAGCAATCCTCAATTCACTGCAGTCACCTGGGTTGCCCTGACCAACAAACCCAATCTGCAAGGTGCTTTAGACAGGAAAACCCCAGAGCAAGAATTTTATTGTACAACTTAATAACCTGCATTTAAAAAATGGTTAGATTCATTACTCAAAGTATGGAAACACACATTTTTATTGACATTTTAAGCACTTTAAGAATGAATTGCTGGGTACAGTGGCTCACGCCTGTAATCCCAGCACTTTGGTAGGCTGAGTCGGGCAGATCACCTGAGGTCAGGAGTTTGACATCAGCCTAACCAACGTGGTGAAAATCCCATCTCTACTAAAAATACAAAAATTAGCTGGGCATGGTGGCTTGTGCCTATAATCCCAGCTACTTGGGAGGCTGAGGCATGAGAATCGCTTCAACCTGGGAGGCGGAGGTTGCAGTGAGCCGAGATTGCATCACCTCACTCCAGCCTGGGCGACAAGAGCGAAACTCTACCTCAAAGAATGAATTGTTTCACACTCCAAGTGTGCCTGGCAGGGTTTAGCAGCACATGGATGGCTGTTGGTCTCCATGAGAAGGACCAGGCCCCAGGAGAGAGGCTGGTGGCAGCCCCATCCTCTGAATGTGCAGACACACCCACAGGCTCTAGCTGAGGACAACCACAGGGGGTAAGAAGGAGCTAATCTCACTCATGGCTAATGACTTCAAGGTATCACCAGAGGTGGGAGGGGGTGGGGAGTGCAAACTCAAATGAACCCCTCAGCGTAGCATGTCTGAAGGTAAAATCTAGTTTAAGAGCTGAGTAGAAGCTGTCTGGGATAAAGACCCGTGACAACAGAAGTGACCCAATCACAGGCAGCTCTGCCAGGGACAGGCTCCTCCGCACTTTGCTCACATCAACCCCTCACTCCTCACACCAGCTCCCAGCGGTCTTGGCAGGTGATATGATTATTACAGGTGAGGGGGTGAAGGAGCTCATGGAGCTTACACCGCAGGGGAGTGGCCAAGTAGATGTGAACCCACTGTCCACCCAGGTGATTATGTGGTACAGTGTCCCGCCTGGGAGGTTGTGGCATCCGCTGCCAAAACTGAAGGAACGTGTTGTGCCAGAGTGCCGAATGCAAACTATGTGAAAAGTATTACCCAGCTGAAAACGTGACAAAATAATTAAAAAAAAAAAACAAAAAAAACACAAGAATACCTTATCTTTAATGATGCTCTCTTGACACGCGGTACATTTTGGACTTGAAGAGCTGTGGGGAAACGCACATGACTGCATTAGAGTGGAGTCCCTTTCTTGAGGGGACTCAGGAGACTCCCGGAGCATTGCTCTATGGTCAGGTCTGCACAGTGGCTCACAGCCATGAGCAGAGTTTCAGGTCGCCCTGGTGATCTGCGTTACGGAGGAAGCCATGGGAGAAAAGGGCTGCGTTTTTTAAATGGTGATTTTTCAAAAGGAAGTTACCAAGCAGAACAGTTTAGTTCAGTGCCACTTGGAAAGCCCCCTCCACTTAATGTAAAAGTGAAATTTTATTTCAGAAACCAAAGCCAGGCATCTGCGGAGCAGCTCTTTGGTGTAAATACCTGTTTACTCGGAGAGCCTTGCTCCTGCTTTGTCAACGCTGCCAGCCCTTCTCCACAGGCCACTTGCTTCACTGTCTATTGGAAGGCCAGTGGCACCCGCACAGGCAGACCAGCCTCCCTCCCCTGCGGCCACCCTAAAACAGGGCTCCAGCCCCTCCTGCACCGGGAGGCTTCTCCTGGGCCCACAGTGTAGTCCAGCTCTTGTGTTAGGAGACATGGTGTTCTGTGTCTCCTGTGCTGTCACTAAGCCCAAATGTCACTTTGCCCCCAAGTGGGCAAAGGTGAGTTGACTCTTTGGGATGAGTGAGCAAGACCACAGAGGAAAGCACAGAGAAGGAGTGGGGGGTTGAAGGTAGGTGACAGGGCAGGGGGCTGGCTGCTGGGCCCAAGCTAGGGCTCTGGGGCAGCCTGGGCTTGAGTGCTGCGGGGGGAGGAGCTGGCAACCTTCCCAGGCCAATGCGCCCTGACCACAGTGGCCAAGATCAGGGTATCCTCCAGCAACCCTAGCACCCAGCACCATGTCTGAAAACATGAGGCCTGCAAGGTGAATCCAGGTGCTGTCCTGGCCTACGCTATGCTGCAGGGAAGCTCCAGCGCCTTCACGATCCTCCAGTGGTGCTGGCACCAGTGCTCAGCAGTGAAGGGCTGCCAAGGGCTGGGTGCACGTTCCACACGAGCCTGCTATGGAAGCGTGCGGCCCCGGTTTCTGCTCCAGTAGGGACCCACCCAGTCCTTGAGGCTGACCCCATCCTCCCACCTCTCTTTCCAGCACCTCGCACACCAGCACACGTGCCCTTCAATGACTGGCTTATTTCCTGGTGTGTCTCCTCCATGGAACCGTGCGCTTCTTCAATGGTGGCTCATGCCTGTAATCCAAGCACTTTGGAGGCCAAGGCGGGTGGATTACCTGAGGTCGGGAGTTCAAGACCAGCCTGACCAACATGGTGAAACCTCGTCTTAAAAAAAAAAAAAATTAAAAAATAAATAAATAAATAAAATACCGCAACACATAGGAGGGGCGCCAAGGCTCTGCGGACAGAGTGGAACGACGCGGGCCGGACGGGTCAGGCGCCCGGAGGCCTCAGTAAACCCAGATGCGGGCTCCCACGGTACCTCCCCAGCAGATTCACAAGCAGGGCCCAGGGGCTTTTACGGATTTCTGCAGGGCTTTACACCGCTAGAGGTTTTATTTCAAAGAAACAAATGAAGGACAGAGTAAGGCCGAAGGCCGAGGAGGCAGCAGGTGGGGGCCGGGCAAAGGCGCCTACCTCAGCAGAGAGGCCATGCAGCTCTCGCAGAAGCGGTGGCCACACTCGGTCTGCTTCGGGCTGCACAGCACCAGGCGGCACTTCTCACACTTGTACTTGTCCTCCACGGCCTTCACAAACTTCTCCTTGTAGCCTCCTTGCTCAGGGACAAAAATCGGTGTCCCGGCACTGCGGTCAGCGTGCAGCTTCAGTGGCGGGTTGGTCTGCAGCGTGCCAGGCGAGTCCATCTTCTTACTGGACTCCATTTTAGCAAGGAGGAGTTCTGCGGGAAGAACAGTCAAAAGCGCGCCGTCATATCCTCTCATGCCAGGAAACACACACAGCTTAGGGAACGCAAAAGCGCCTGAGGTGTGCTGTCTTTTGGTTTTAGGTAACACAAGAATCTTTCCAGCTTTAATATGTGTTGGGAACAAAACATGATCCAATATGCTTCCTTCCTTTCTATTTTACCCAAACACACAGAAACTATTGATATTACTATTCAAAGAATTTCCTAAAAGGTGTACTTAATAAATTGGGCTAGGCAGAGAGGCACACACCTGGGGTCCCAGCTCCTTGGGAGGCTGAGGTGGGAGGACTGCTGAGCTCGGGAGGTAGAGGCTGCCCTGAGCTATGACGGCACCACTGCACTCCAGCCTGATTGCAGAGTGAGGCTGTCGCCACAAATTTTTAAAAGTTAATAATAGCCAGGCACGGTGGCTCAAGCCTGTAATCCCAGCACTTTGGGAGGCCGAGGCAGGTGGATCACGAGGTCAAGAAATCGAGACCATCCTGGTCAACATTGTGAAACCCCATCTCTACGAAAAATACAAAAAATTAGCTGGGCATGGTGGCGTGTGCCTGTAATCCCAGCTACTCAGGAGGCTGAGACAGGAGAATTGCCTGAATCCAGGAGGCGGAGGTTGCGGTGAGCCGAGATCGTGCCATTGCACTCCAGCCTGGGTAACAAGAGTGAAACTCCGTCTCAAAAAAAAAAAAAAAAAAAAAAAAAAAGTTAATAATAAACAGAGTATTTCTGAGGTTTAAAAAAATTACACATATTACTTTGCTGTGTGGTAACTCTGAATTCAATGCATCATTCTGAGCTTTTGGCTGAAACAGCCGTTCTTAGCCAGTTTTCTTTCCTCACTGACTTCTGCTAGATGAGTCTGGATGACACAACTCAGGGTGGCCTGGTCAACCTGCTTCTGGAGCCCAGGAGCTGCTCCTTCCCTGGGAAACCCTGTGAGATGTGCCCACAGTACCCAAAGTGCTCCGTTTTGATGTCCACCCTCATCTTATTAATCTACCACCACCATGACCCAGCAGGCTGAGCACAGAGCTGTGGGGTGGGCCCACCGTGGACCTACAGAGCAGGCCACACCACGCTGCACTGGTGAGGAGTGTGTGAGGGGTGTGGCTCCCTGCGTGCATGAGGGGGCTCAGGTAGATGCCAATGTACCCAAGGGCTGTGCTGGCAGAGGGGACACCACACAGAGCAGGTCTGTCTGAGCGGGCTCTCTTCCATACCTGCTGACAAGGTACTCTGTGAGACTGGCTGTCTCCCCGCTGCAGGTTCCCACTGACAGGTAAAGCAAACAGCTCCCCACAATAAGCCACAAAGGTCCCGGCCTGCACAGCTCTGCCAAAGGAGACCTCAAGATCAAGTAAACGACAATACCCAGGAACGTGCAGGAGTTGAATTGAGTTCCTGAAGAAACTTGAGCTTTAATAAAAATTACACTGTGCACTCATTAACACACTAACAATTTGATCAATCATCCTAAATACATGCTAACACTTAACCAAAGCACAAATTAAATGTTTCCAGATGGTGGAATAAAGTCTGGCTTCTCTTGTCTTTGCTTTCTGGATACCGTGCAGTGGCCATTTTTATAACGAAAAAATCCTAGTGAATGCTGGTCAGTGTGGAGGTCAGTTTGCACACCATGAACTTTCTTGAAAAGAAAGTTCAGGTAAACAGAGGAAGTTTCTTTCAAAACTAACTCACCAGCTCCCTGAAAAATGCACTGCATTCCTGCGCTGAATTCATCTATGTTTGCTACTTAGAGAAGTAGGAGCCAAATTCCTTTCACTCCTGAGGCCCTGGGCATCCCAGGGAGGTAGCTGTTGGGTGGGCGACAAAGCCCCTCCCTCCAAGCCTGTTCTTGCTGCCTGCATGAAGCTGACAGGCACATGAGCTGACAGCCTCCCAGCCCAACTTCAGAGCTAGAAGAAAACAGGAATGAACACTGGCAGCAGAGAACTTCAGAGACTGATGAACTGGCATTCCAGCCACTGGGTCAGCTTCATAAAACATTGCTGTGTGGGCAAAGTGTGGGAAATTGCGTATTTGTGAAAACAAAAAGTTTTTAAAACGTTGATGTTAAAGTATATGCATCGTGGCCTGGCGCGGTGGCTCAAGCCTGTAATCCCAGCACTTTGGGAGGCCGAGGCAGGTGGATCACGAGGTCAAGAGATCGAGACCAACCTGGTCAACATGGTGAAACCCCGTCTCTACTAAAAATACAAAAAATTGGCCTGGCGCGGTGGCTCAGCCTGTAATCCCAGCACTTTGGGAGGCCGAGGCAGGTGGATCACAAGGTCGAGAGATCGAGACCATCCTGGTCAACATGGTGAAACCCCGTCTCTACTAAAAATACAAAAAACTAGCTGGGCGTGGTGGCGCGTGCCTGTAATCCCAGCTACTTAGGAGGCTGAGGCAGGAGAATTGCCTGAGCCCAGGAGGCGGAGGTTGCGGTGAGCCAAGATCGCGCCATTGCACTCCAGCCTGGGTAACGAGAGAGCGAAACTCCGTCTCAAAAAAAAAAAAAAAATACAAAAAATTAGCTGGGCATGGTGGTGCGTGCCTGTGGTCCCAGCTACTCAGGAGGCTGAGGTTGCAGTGAGCTGAGATCGCGCCATTGCACTCCAGCCTGGCGACAGAGCAAGACTCCATCTCAAAAAAAAAAAAAAAAAAAAAAAAAAGTATATGCATCGTAGGTGTCTTTTCTGTTTTTGCTTACAAACTTGCTGGTCCATTACGATGCTCACTCATCTTTCCAAGTCAAGCAGCAAGGGCAGCTGGTGCTAGCCTTGCCCGACAGGTAATAGGGTCAACCAGCCTCAACCTGTGGCCCTGGCCCTGGCCGCCACTCTGCTCTCCACACTGACCCGATGTCCCTCAGATGCTCTGGGTTCCCCTAGGCCCAGCCAGGCCACTGCAGAGCCTACCCAGACACATGCAGGCCAGCCCCCCACCTTCTCCAGGAGGCCACCCTCCCACCCTCCCCTCTCTCTCAACTCCTGCAGCCCGCTCTGTGCTTTCCCAGACCTCCTGCTGCTAAGACTGCATATAACTAAGTTTCTCCAGGGTATATCCCCTAGAACAGAGAATCAGAAATTGGCAAACTACAGCCTCTGGGTCAAATCTAGCCAGCAGCCTATTTTTGTAAGGTCTTTGAACTAAGAATACTTTTTAGATTTTTTTTTTTTTTGAGATGGAGTGTTACTCTGCTGCCAGACTGGAGTAAAGTGGAGCAATCTCAGTTTACTGCAACCTCTGCTTCCTGGGTTCAAGCGATTCCCCTGCCTCAGCTTCCCGAGTAGCTGGAACTACAGGCACACACCACCACACCCAGCTAATTTTTTACATTTTAGTAGAGGTGGGATTTCACCATGTTGGCCACGATGGTCTCGACCTTGTGGTCTGCCCACCTTGGCCTCCCAAAGTCCTGGGATTACAGGCATGAGCCACCACACCCAGCCTGCTTTTTAGATTTTTAAAGCGTTATAAAACAAAGACTAAGTGTGTATGTGGTTCACAAAGCCTAGGGTATTTACTCTCTTGTCCCTAACAGAAAGAGTTGACCAGTCCCTGCTCTGGACTCTACATCTAGAGAGCGCAGAGGAGTGGCCAGTGCATAGGTTGTATGAAAGGCCGATTTTGTAAATGAGCACCAAACTGCTCTCCAAAGCAGAGGTAACAACAAATACTTCCACCAGCAGCACGAGAATTTCTGTGAACCTACACTCTCACCAACACTTACAGTTATCAGTCATCTTCATTTCTACCAACCAAGGACAAGAGTCTTGTTGGCCCTCATCCTGGTTAGAAAGGTTTGGCATCTTTTCATATGCTGAGAGGCCACTTGTCTTTTCTTCTGTGAAATGCCAAATTGTGTTTCCTTGTCATTTTTTTTCTTTGTGTGTGTGCGTTTTCAGGAGATGGAGACTCATTCTGTTGCCCAGGCTGGAGAACAGTGGCGCCATCATGGCTCACTGCAGCCTCAGCCCCCTGGGCTCAATCCTCCCACCTCAGCCTCCGGAGTGGCTAGGATTATAGGCACATGCCACCAGTCCCAGCTAATTTTTTAATTTTTTCAGGAGCTGGGGTTCTTGCTACATTGCCCGGCCCCCTCTCAAACGATCCTCCTACCTCAGCCTCCCAAAGTGCTGGGATTACAAGCATGAACAACTGCACCTGGTACTGTCATTTTTTTAATTGGGTTATTGTCCCTTGCAATATTTATGTGGAGAGATCCTACATCTATTTACTCTGTTAACAGCTAATCCTTTGTTAGTTATATGTATTACAGATGTCTTTCCCCTATTTATGGCTTGACTTTGTTGTTTTAATTATTGCACTTTAAATGCAGGTTTGTTACATAGATATACATGGGCCATGGTGGTTTGCTGCACCCATCAACCCGTTACCTATATTAGGTATTTTTCCTAATGTTATCCCTCCCCAATCCCTCCACCCCCTGCTCTTCCTCCCTTAGCCCCTGCTACCCGCTGTGAGGCCCCAGTGTGTAATGTTCCCCTCCCTGTGTCCATGTATTCTCACTCTCCAACTCCCACTTGATGCAGTATTTGGTTTTCTGTTCCTGTGTTAGTTTGCTGAGAATGATGGTTTCCAGCTTCATCCATGTCCCTGTAAAGAACATGAACTCATTCTTTCTTATGGCTGCGTAAGTATTCCATGGTGTATATGCGCCACATTTTCTTTATCTAGTCTATCACTGATGGACACTGGGTTGGTTCCAAGTCTTTGCTATTGTAAATAGTGCTGCAATAAACATAGGAGTGCATATATTTAGAAATGGAACTGCTTCATTAATTTGCGTGTCATCCTTGCTCAGGGGCCATGCGAATCTTCTCTGTATTGTTCCAATTCTAGTATACATGCTGCCAAAGTGAGCACTATGGCTTGACTTTATTTACGGTGTCTTTTAATGAAAAGAAATCTTAATTGTATTAGGCCAGGTGTGGTGGCTCGTG